TTCTCGTATTTTTTTTTTGAAAAAAGCTCGAGACATAATGGCGACCTTTCAGGAAGAACTCATAATAGGAACTTGCCTATATTGTCTTTTTCATGGTATTGGAAAACAAAAGATATCGAAAACATCTTGAGTGTTTTTTCCTATCATCAAGCTAAAGCGATGTTCTTCGCAAAAAAGAAAAGATCGCGTGCCGCTGTGAAATTTTGTTGGCTTTCATCTACCACGTGGGTGTGAAATGGCTTCCACGTGTGCAAATTTATCTCATGCAATTCTTGGACCTGACTCAAACAAGCAAAGATGGAAGTAGGAAAAATTGTATATTAAATCGAATTAGTCATTGAATAGGTGAAATAGTACTGAAATGTTCCATTTTTTGTGATTGCATGATTAAGGTCCCCCCCTAACTTTAACTGGACAACGGTTCCTAATACTCCCACGTGAGTTACGCGTGGCTTGTCTAACGTGATAATTCGCGCGTGTTTTGCCTAGAAGCTGAAAACTCGTCTGAAAGATTTTTCATTCTCTTACAACCATGGAAATGATTATTTAATTGTTAAAGTAAACCTCTACGTCCAAGAGTCTTGAGGAGATTCTAACAGCATGTTAAAGAGGATGTAAAACTAAATTGCCCATGTAGTTTTTGCAAATAAAGGCATCAAGTAAAATATTGATTGAAGTATTGCATACCGTCATTTTCAACAAGACATCTCGTTTTTATGGACGATCCGTTCCATTGAGTTATTAGTCATAACCACGCCCGTTTCTCTGTAAACATTGGGTCGACTACATTTGAAAGAAGTCTCCGTCCGTTTACAATGTAAACAACCCAGTCACTCGTAAATTCAAGCATAGGTTTACGTACGCCAATAAAAATCTCCGCTAGAATAAATTGCTATAGCCAACATGTTCAGTTTATGTTAAACAATCTAACCCCACCTTAGTACCGGGATCGCAGCAAGTTCTTACAAGCCGATCACCCTGTACAATAGCAAAATACACACCAATCTGTGGCTAAGCTGAATGTTTTCGATATATGGGGAGACGAACGGTCGCGGGCGGAGAAACATCCGTATTTAAAACAAAGGCTACGCGATTTCGAAGTTATGACTGCACACAATCCTCACCCTTTCACTATTTGCATTACTGCTGCAGTTTTAAATCCTCATCGTTGTAGATCGATGATCAAAACGATATTTGTGTCGCCATATCTAACCGACGGAATAAAATCAATGCCATTTTCTGAGGGTTGTGCAAATGTCGCCCTCGCTACAAGTTGCCCTTTTATTTTTCATGTGCATATAAGCCCTTTGAAAAACTGCGCCAACTTCATTGCCCTGATAACACTTTGTTTGGTAAATTTACATTGGCGTAATTAACTCTAACTCGTTTAGTAAAAAATCAGGAGTTTTTACATCGATATGCTTAACAAAATACTAGAATGTGGTATACGTCACAGAAAGCGTTGGTGTCCCTTTCCATCAAAAGTAAAGTAATGTTAGCTTCGATTTTTTTTCGGCACATTCTAATCGCTTTCTTTTGATAGGAAAATTCCGTGTTTCTAGTTTTCTGACCCATTGGAAGGCCTATTTGACCCTTGGTAAATGCTCACTGATCGATTCTTCGCCAGCTTCATGTACGGGTGGTCTCAGCCACAAACTAATACGTGAAAGCATCAATGAACAAAGTGAAACGTATACAAGAATAAGACTTTCCGGCACGCTTATAGATGTGCCACGAAAAACCACGCACATTACACTCGACAAAGCAAACGCAAAACAGAGCGGAAGAAATGTGCAAATGGAGTTGGACAGATGTATTTGAACGGCGTATTTGGAGAATAAATATAGTTGGCTCTGCTGTATAACTATGATAAGACCACAAGTTTATTGAACAAACTCATTTACGAAGTTACTCAGCTCTGATAATTACAATGATTACCGGTAAACATGTACCCTTGGTTGAACAACTTTCCTACCAAGTTTTACGTACATTGTAGCTCTTTCGCTAATTTTTTTTGGTCTTTAAATTCAACTGGCTCACTTTCAAAGATTGGTCCTTTTTGCGGTAACCCAGCTAGCGGAATATTCGAGGAAAACGGAAAAATAACAGCGTCGTTGGCAATTTGAAACTTAACTCGTAAAGGAAATTCGGAAACCTTTGTGTCCGCAGATTGCATTTAACTGTTGGATCAGTTTTGAGGTAGGACAAAATTCAGCGACGAATTTGCATGAAATTTACGCCGAACTGAGTTTATGAGGACACTGATTCCTTTCCAGAGGGAAGAGTGAAAAAAATTCGCCGTTTTGTTGCTTAAACAAATTGCTTCTAGGCCAACTTGACTCTGAAGAAGGCCGATGTCACCGCTGCAACCGTTCAGGATGGTGGAAAATAGTTGTATTTCATTAGTATTAAATAGCTTTACCAGAAAATCTTGTCAAGCAAAATAATAGAAACAAGTTTCCTTAAGATAGATTATTCTATGATCGTGTTTTTGTCTCACTGATTTACGGGCGAACGTTTCATGTAGGTTGATCAGGAACTCTTACACTGAAAGAGAAAGGAAAATCTGTGAAGCCTGCTGTGAGGCGAAGCATCCTCGATTGACTCATTTGAGCAGTTCAGACCTTCCTTGAAGAAGAACAGTACTTTACTTGAGATCTCTTTTTCATATTTTGGGTGCAACTAAAGATTGCCTCAAACCGCAGTTGTTTTAAAAATGTTGGATATTGAGAATCTTGGCTTCTTCAGAAAATTTGATACAATTAAAATTGTGATGCAACAACAAGATTTTTTCATCTGCCGTTCAGGCTCGAACGGAATTACTGCCACAACCAGTAAACAACAATATATATTCATTTCTAAACCCGGCCATCAGATGTGTATTTTTTTCAATGTTTCATTTAGAGCTGAAGAGAAACATTGCCAGCTTCCCAGTTTCGTACTCTCTGTTTCGATGATTCAATTACGCGTAGTTAATTCAGAAAATTCCTATCAATGCGTTTTAACGGACATCTTCTCAGTATGATTCAGGGTGCTTTCCTCTCACCTCAATATCTCTCTCTCTGTCACTTTTTTCTCTTGTGGGCAAAGCTCTATGGCGAATTATTCTACTTCAAATTATTCCTTTTCTTTTTTAATCAAGAGTCAAACAAAAAACCCTCTCGCAGATAATCCAAAGGCAACGGTGTTGTGAGATTCAGGAGAGAGGCGGCCGGCCGTGATTTCGTTCTTCCTTCGCCCTGTTAAGTTTCTTTTTGTCATCGGTGAATAACATGAATCTTGTTCATATCACTGCTGATAATGCCGCAAACCCACAAGAACATGAAAAGAAATCAACAACTGTCCCTTAGACACGCCAGTTATGAACAAAGAATGACAGTGACATTGGTTGAAATCAAATTTGAAAAACGGAAAATTGAATTCAGACAATATTTCGTAATCTCTAAGAAGCTTACATCTTAAATAACTCTTCCACAAACACATTAAACACAATACAGTATATACAAACGCCTAGAGTTCTGTTTGACTTCGGGAAAGACAACAAAACAAGCTTGAGCGGCAAACAGCCGAAGTTAAAGAAAAAAAAGCTTGTCAAAGATTTTTTTCTCGGCTGCATTTCCATGAGAAGCTATCGTTAAGGAAACTCTTGCTGATCACTGTAGTCTCATGAATCTGTTATAATGTTATTACAAACCCCCAGATAATACACAGTTTATTCTTTGTTTTCACAAGGATTTTAGTCCGATAAGCGGATTGTTGAAGATTTAGTTTTTCCATTAGTTGCTATAGTTTTGTTTAAGAATTAATGAGGTCAATTTGACATACCACGATGTTTAAACGTTCCCTTTTGTCTGCCTTCGATTCTTGGTTTACATTTTTGATAAAATACCTCGAAAACAGGTGTAGTGGATGAACAAAGGCCTCTGAAGGCACAGCCGACAATCTCATCTAACGCATTTTATTCCAGGCTTCATCCCTGCTGTGAAATCTTTTTTTTTTACCACTACGACCCCGAGGACCCGCGTTTGTCATAGAGAGAAGACCAAGCTAGTAAAAGCAACCTGCAGCTAGAATAACAAGATCTATAATAAGGTTACTGTCTTTATAAACCGAGCTAAACCGCTTTGCTAAATGCTGTCTTTTCTCCAATAGTTACGTGAATTAAAAATGTTTACGAAACGACTGTGTCAAGTTAGGTCGCATATCGAGTGGCATGGGAAAAATCGAAAAAAGCCTTTTTTCGTGAAACCACTTAGTTATTTACCTGTGTTTGAGAAATAAGATGGATAAACAGTAAAACGACAATTTCAGTCGCTAATTTAGTCCCTGAAATAACAATTCTGCGAACCGGAAGTGTCAGGGGTAAACATCAAATGATCCCTGCCCGCATGTATAATGAATGAAATGTGTTTCTCGGGACTAGTGTTTGTAAAGCTAAAATCTGTTGAAGTTTTTCTTTTCTAGTGTCAGAATAAAATAGGAGAGTCGTCGGCGTATTTACTTAAATTGACTACCCTTCAACAATATTTCTTGACAACAGGGAAAGTTATTTGTTTATCCTTCATCGTATCAATATTTACAGCACACACGAAAGGTTCGCAAATAGGAAAGAAAAATGTTTATTCAGTAGCTAAATCGCGCAATACAGACAAATACGTTTGAAAGGATTGGTAGATATTATTAATAGAAAAGCTGTAACCCACTGTGGTCGCCTGGGGTAAAAGGTCTCAAGGCACGCCTCGAATAGTTTTTCAGCAAATTTGAAAAAAAAATTACCGCAAACTTTTCGAGTGAATACCTAATCCTTTGCCAAATTCGTGTTTCGCCTGCTCGTCCTGAATTAGAACAGAGCATCCTGTAACGATCGATGTACAAAATCTTTCTGTCATCCGTAATTTTTTGGGCTTTCCTGTATGTTATTTAAGTACTCAAGAGCGGAGAATACCCATTAAATAAAAAGATAAATCAATGTCTCAGATTTTATCACTTTATTACGATTTTGAACTGATGCGATTTTTCTGATCAAAACATATTTTCAAGGAAGATTCATCCGCAGTTATGTGTTTCCCAAATTTCGCTTCAAGACGCAATACCTGGGAAGTTTAGTTACAAATCTTTCGGGTGATCTACGAGTTTTAAATGTTGTGGGCAACAGATTTGTCCAATTATCAGCAAAATGGCACAAACGGTAACTTTTCGTTTAGTTGCAATTAGCCACGCTTAGTAACTAGGGCTGATCAGACGTGATCCTGTTAGCCTCGCGTTCGTGCGCTATCGCTTTAAAACCGTTTATAACCACAAATCAAGAAAAAATCTAAAACTGTCCAGCTCTTGTTCATGTCGGTTCACACATGCTTAAGATAGTCACCGTGTGTTAGTAACCAAGAGTGCGGCAGTTCAGGCAGGTACACTGACTACACAATCCGCTCGAACGCGGCGAACCAGGAACAGTCCAAACTGAACTGTAAACGTTGAGAGAATGAGAGTTTATTCCTGTGCTGTTACAGGTTAAAGCTGTGCAATTGTTACAGAATCCCTTCACAGGACTGCTGTAGTCTGTGGGAACGCTGAATCTTGGAGCAGGAAAATTCCCGTCTACGCGTGAAGATGAAATCTTAACCAAATCTGAAACCGTCTGCGCTCCGACAGTGTTCTCGTTTATCGAGGTGGTTTCGTTCATTATCTGTTCCCTCCTCTCTTTCGCTTGCTTATTCCCTAATATGTTTGCAATACTAAAAGGGTGAATTGGCTCTATTGCCCAAGGCTCTTGCTTCACCTGATTTACAGGTATGTTTCTCTGCGCTTCGCTTTGATCGCCTGTGGAAGAATCCTCCATACAAGGACTTTTTGCCGAAGGTGAATGAATTAAGTCTTGAGCAGTCGTCTTTACGGCTCGTCCATCTTGCTTTAGAGGGTTTTTAGCGGCGTGTCCTTGCAAACTGTCGTTCTCCTTTGAGCATGCCTCCAACTCTGTCGAAATTCCATTGTCTTCATCTCCTTCGTCATCTTCATCTTCCTTTCCGCGGTAATTTCTCTGTCTCCTTCGCCTTCTTCGGAAATTTCCTTCCTCGAACATTTCCTCGTAAGACGGATCCAAACTCCAGTAGCATCCTTTTCCGGGATCGGAGCGCTCGCGAGGTATTTTCACGAAGCATTTGTTTAACGACAAGTTGTGTCGAATGCTATTTTGCCAGCCTCGTTTGTTAAGGCGATAATACGGAAAGTTCTCCGTGATAAACTGATAAATTCCACTGAGTGTAATTTTTTCGTTTGGCGCTTGTTTGATGGCCATGGAGATGAGAGCCACATATGAGTAAGGAGGTTTTGGGAGTGGCTCTTGTTCACGGAAGAATATTCCTCCGCCATGGCAGTTCAGAGCGAAGCCAGTTCGACCCCATTGAGGATAAAATGCTGAAGTATAGCTCGGTAAAGCTGGGTGAAAAGATGGCTGACACATGTACGGCGTAGGGTAACAACTACGGTGCGACGGAAACATCTCGTTTGAGTTCACTTTGCGATCTTTAAGGACGGAGTGATAAGCCTGGAGATCTTGAGCAGCAGTCAGGACTGCTTGAAACATTGGAGGCACTGGGAAAAAGTCGCACGGGGTTGTGACTTTTATTTATGGACCACCGGCACTGTTTGTTTATAAGATAAGTAGAGCTTTTGTGTCAAATTATTTATTTACAAACAATCCATAACCGCATTTAGACCACACATTGGCCGATTAGAGCGGAAACAGGTTGCTTGGCAGAAAACTCATCTCACGCACTAATGACTCATTAGACAACATTTCACGGCGTCACAAGACACATGCATCGCTTCTGCAAATATTTACTTAGAAAATCGAGAACAACGCCTTTATGACTTACCCACACTATCATTTGATTGTTTACGCCACGTTTGGAATGGAACAATCTCGAACAACAGCGTCTTTCGATTACTGTCAGCCAATGAATTTTATTCATGAGCTAAGGACAAACTGACCCAGTATTTCCGGGGCATCACAGCGTTTAATGCAGTTTGGAAAAGCAGTTTAGGTTTGTTTGAAGTTAAGAAAGCTTTCACGGGTTAACTAAGGACAGTTTAATGGCAAGCTGATTGTTTTTGCGCCGGTTTACGAGACTTTGGGACGCCAGGTTTTTTCTTTCATTTATTAATAACCATGGTATAGAGTAACAAAACAAGGCTTTTTGTGTTTGACTATGTCAATTGACTCTAAAAAAGCAGCTTGAAGGTAATATATATTTTTTTTTGTTTAAGAACCCAAAGAGCAGCTCTTTATCAATTCAGTACAGTATTTCTTCAAGACGTGAAAGAATTACTTTCGTAATGCTTTGGTCTCAAAAGGATGACAGCGGTTAACCTTCGCACCACTAAAGAAGAGTAACAATAATAACAAGATTTTGATTTTATCGATTTTTTTAGGACTGTCGGCTAATTTTCTCGTCCTGTCGTTGCTGGGCAAAAAAAAAACTGAAAGTTGAACGTTAATGCATTTTCTCAACGGGAATCAGTGTTTGTAATTTACAATATAAGAGGTGAAAAGTTTAGTGAGAGGCCGCATCGGGGACATAGTTTGCTGACAAGCTTTAAGAATAAAAAGGTAAAAAGAACAAAATATTAAAAAGACAAGGAAGCTGGTAAACTCGAAATTTAGAAACAAAATTAAAATTCCAGCCCCTCAAAAAATGTCCCCGCTCAGGATTCAAGCCGCGATGAAATCTTTACCGCTGCTATTTTCAGATGGATGAAGAAGAAAAACTGAAAACATTACCTAACGCAACAGAGAGTTGAAAGGTTACATCTCAGCTGGACTGTGCTTGATCATTTGCCTATTCTTCTCGTTCCCAAAACAAAATAGGCGCGCCTTTCACAAGCCGGAGGGGAAATTATCGCTATTAGATGGTGATTTCTTTGTTTATGGGGCAATTTATGGCAAACAAAGGCATTTTTAAGCCGAATGGCTAGTGGGTATTTAAAAATGAAGTCAGGTGTAACGTTGTGTCATAAACGATTAGCAATATTTAGCAACACAAGTTGAGAACACTCTCGGAGATCAGAGTCCATTTCTCTTATTTTTGAATTTTTTCTTGGAAGAGTTTTTCTCTCCCGTAGAGCTTTAAAATGAACCCCACTTAAGAGCACCAAGGAAGATGATGTACAGAAAAAGCGATAGAAGAATTTGACAATTGACTAAAGGCTCTCAATACAATTTTCTTCCTTAACTAAGAAGTACTCGTTCGCTCTATTCAGTCGCAAGCAACATGTCAGTGGACTTTGCAGCTTAAAGCCTGCTTAAAGAAATCACGATGCCTTTAAAGAGCACAATGCGAGAACTGCAATTGAACATTATAAACAATTAGTCCTCAAAGAGTTGAAAAGATATGGGAGTGAAATCAATATGATTCACCTGCTGGGATGAACTTGGCACCAGGAAGGACAAAGAAGGAAAAACATAGTAAGGGAAATTGTAAAGTGCTATCAGTATTCAATAGTTATGCCTGAAGCTAATTTTTTTCTGAAAAGGTTTCTTCTTCTCTAACATCAAGGCTCGAAACTTCTACTATCCATAATATGAACGATAACCGCACGAAAATACAAAAATATGGCTTCCATCTGTAAACAATGCGGTATCTTCTATAAACAACTGAAATTTTATCATTAGATTTAAACCGTGCTTCAACATTTTTACCGTCTTTCTCGACTTTTCATCAGATAACCGCTATCGAAGTGAAACTACCAACCCAACCGCGAGTTTACATGCCGATTAAGACGAACTAACTCGTCTCTGGCCAGAGAAACATTTCATTTGGAGTTAATAACTTTAATAGTTTCGGAATGTTTTCCCCTGATATGCTTTTGCTTCTGGATTACCACAAGAATAAGCAAACTTTCACTCCAAAGACGTAACTCCGGAGAGCAAAAGGTGAACTGAAAAACTGTCTGCAACTTTGTCTTTACAAATCCTATAGAATTTCCGCAAAACTGACATCAAAATAAAAGTGATTAGCTTAAACAAAAGCAAACTGCACCGACCTTACGCAATAAAACTCACCAGTTCTAAGAAATGACAGATTTTCAAGTTGTTTGAGAAAGCGAGAATAACAGGCCACGAGAACATTTCAAAGTGGGCATGGTCAATTCTTAGGCTATCAAACCGAAAAAGAGACTACCACTGGCTGAAATTATTCGCAGCAGTAAAAACTGAGAAGTTTCTTCCCACAATATCGACACATTACCGAAAAAGAAAGGCGATGAGAACAAATATAAACATCAGTAGGAAATGAGTGTTTGATCAAACACCAATTTCTCAGGCCTTACTACAAGAAACATAAGGAAAACAGTGAGGAGAAATGGTATTAAGAGTAAAGGGGTTAATCGCTACCGGGCTTAAAACTGATATCTGTCTAAGACACCCTAAAATTAAACAAACTTCAGATCAGTTGGTGTTCTTCGACACGACGTTTCGCGAATGAAAGATTTCTAGTCTCTTGGCGTTTTGTGCGGGAAAAACAGATTTGAATACAAGGAGTCAACAAACTCCCACGTAACTCGTTAACTACCACGTAACCACGCGAGTCGGCAGATACACCGCCACGCGTCCACGCGCCCACGTAGTCACTCAGAAAAGAACCATACAACAGGTAGCTTTAAATGCTTTGTTCATACGTTACAAAAATATTCCTATTTTTCAACAGTATTTTCACTTAGGAAGAAAAATCATTCCACAAAATCATTCGTCAAGGTTTACACCATGGTTGTAAAAACTCACAGAGCTTAAAATACATTGTCACCCTATATACATATATAAATCTTCAGCAAGATGCTATCGTAAATTTTATCTGACAAGAAATGCTGCGCTATGTCCACTTCTGTACTTGCATCATTGTAACTGTTGATTTTCAACTGATAGATAGGTACACAGATTAACCATCTTCAGCACTAGCCAATTGTAAATAACTCCCGACACAATGCCGATGTCCACGTGCACATCACGTGTGTTACTTCACGCGCTTTCAAAAGACAAGGTTTTTGCGAGTGATGCGTTTCCTTTTATTCAATAGAGTTCATGCTCGTAACTTTGCGGTGTTCTGCTTATGAGGGCCATAGTCCTATCTGCTTTCTAAGATTAGAACGGATAGCTGACGTAATAAGCTAAACCCTCTCCAACAAGCTTCAATCACATTTCCTGTAGACGACAAAACAAAACGGAAAAACTTTTTTTTTTTAAAGACTTACTCCAGCGATTATCACTGAGTCAAAAAATATACAGTAGTATTTGCGGAGTAAAATAGGTTAATAAAAACTTACCATAGCTTAACTTGTCTTTACTTATCACTGTATCCTGGTCACCTCGGTGAAGGGTTCGGAGAATTCTAGAAAAAATTACCCTTTGAGTCACTCGTTCCTCAAAGCTCGAATAAAAGAGTCAAAATATTCTTATCTATCATTCCTGGGTGAAATATCGAGGGAATTTGACTGCTTTAACATGAATGATTCGACTATAATTCTAGGGAAGAAAGGTAAATTATTCGACCCAAGTAAACATTTCTATTAATAAGGTGCTATCAGTTTAGAAAAAATTTTAATTTGTCCCTAATTGAAGGGGAAAATCCCAGAACCTACGACACGCAAACTTTACTTTCGAACTGTGTTCGGAAAACGATCACAGCAATGTGGGAACAAGCTTTGCTCAGGGTCAATGTTCCGTTACATTTGATTGGTTTAAATAGAGCAGTGGTTTGCCTCAACTTAAGACTGATTGGTCCAAGGATCTCACGCCATCCTCCCTGCCAATCATATGCCCCTTTGAGTTCTTTATTTTAAATTAATCTTCATTTGATCGATAAATGTCCTATCTGTAAACCTTATCCAAAGACGCTCGATCCCACATCAAAGCTGAACACTATTTTAAAATCATGTTATATTAGCGTCAGTGTTAGAACTACATATCCAGTAGGTCTTAATCAACTCAGGTGTCAAAAAAAATAACAGTGCAGGCAAAATACGGATAACGAAAGAGTTAAATTGTTTAAGGAAAACTTAGGCGCCACAAAACGAGACTTCAATGACCATTTGCACAAAGATTCAATTAATAAATTGTTATCTGCAAGAAGAGACGCTGGACAAGCAGACTAACTAAGGCAACCGAACATTTAGAGTCATGGCTAGCACGCATTACATCCATGGTCACGTTCGCCAATCACGTCGCACAACGTTTCAAATTGCTTGAGTGATAAACAAAGGCAAAGCATATTAAACACGTACCTTAAGCTCCATAACCTGAAAAGGTAAGTGAACTGTTGCGCCTCTGTGCTCTATAACCAGATAACCTCTTTTTTCTGATGCCCGAACCACCTTTACAACTTCTCCTTTCTTCAGGAGAACTTCGCTTCCGTCATCTAAAGGTGGCAGTTAAAAAAAAAAAAAATGAAATTTATTTTCTTATTTTGCCAATTATAATGAAGCACATAGTTCACTCACCTGGATAATCCATTTTCATGATACGATTTTGTGGGAACCCCATCTTCATATTTCCTAGCACAGTATACGGACGGCTTTTAGGCAAAGGTGGGGGAGTCTCCTGAAAAGATGGCAGCAAAAAACTTATGATTCTGTCCTTGTTTTCCATTTCGCGGTATTTTTGTTTTAGATCGATCACAAAGCGGTGCAGAGTAAAAACAATGCTCTATCTTACGTTACGAACCATTTTTTCATACTAAACAGCAGTAATCCTAAATGAATCACTGTATTCCCAACTCTCTCCTTTACGAAAGCCAACCTACCATATCGATTCCGAAGAGACAGCATGACTGGTCGGCAGCCTTCGTGTCAACCCGAAGCTCATCCGACGGGGAAACTGATCTGCGAACAAGACTGTAAAAAGAGTTATTGAGTTAAAGCGACGAGGCTCGGTTAGGGGAGAAGCAAACTACAGTCTTGGACGACATCGCGAAAAAGCAATCAAAGTACTTCATGAACGTGGGACAAAAATAAAATCTAAGCTATGCGTCTTGACGTCGTGGCAAATTCACTATCAACCTTAACCTTATCCCTCCTTACTACTCTTCAAATACCTTTGGCTATCGGTTTACAATATTTACCTGTGATTAGTTTTGCTACCCTGCCGGCCTTTTCTCTGAAGTTCCAATGAACGTTTTAGGTTTGGCCATCTCTTTCGACAGATCCATCTCCTGAGCCAGCATTGGATCGTCACAGCGGCCTTCACTTTTCTTTCTTCGTATAATTTGTCCAATTCTTGCTTCACAACCTCACTACAAAAGTCCACGACAAGCGACGAACAATTATTGTGCAAAGCCTGGCACACATTAAAAAAGTATCATGATGTCCATCTGTTTTATTTCAACGTCTTCCCTAATTCCAGACGTTTTTCCTTTCTATTTTGCACCGAAATTCGGAGCGTTACATCAAAAAAAAATGCGAAAGAAAGACTCACTAATTGAGAAAACTGAAAATGAAAAAAAAAAATGATTGCAAGTTACCTGTAGAAAACGTATCTCTTTCCCAGTACCCAAGAGCCAAACATGACGTCATTATTGGGCTTGTCAACTTTTCTCATCAGCGTCTCCAGAATATCTTTGCAATCCTCATACCCAGTCTCCTCCAGACCCCGGACTTTACGCGGCGAGACAAAGCTATATTTCTTGGCGAATGCTTCAAGTCGAATGCGATTAGCGAGGGCTGAAATAGGATAATTATGTATAAGAAATTACTGATTAAACCGCATTTTGTGTGGGTAACTTTTTGATAAAAGTGACGAGGGACAAGCAAAGCTCTTCCCATGTGGTTTGCATCATGTATCATGTAATCTATATTCATTGTTTTTTTGTCGTCAATTGTATCACGATTCGTCTCAAGGCCTTACAGAACAACGGGCTCTTTTCGTTTTCTATACTTAGGAAAAACGGCTGGGATTTTCAGTCGTTTTACAATCCATTTAAATGTGTTTAACCCGTTCGCTCCCAACATCCCATCAGTATATCTCCCTACAGCCTGCCATACGATTGTTATGATGTTAGTTCGGAAAATTTGGTATTCGATCAAGTAATAACACCCTAGTTAATATTTTCCTTTATTCTTATGAATTTTCTGCTTAATATTGTATTGATATTGTAAGGAGAAATTCTGTCTTGGTAACTAATGGGAGTCTAAGGGTTAACTACCTGACTGTAACAGTTGAAGAGTCTCGAATATCTGCAACACTCGAATCTGCTGACTGACAATTCCACGGTCGAAGGAATATGGCTCCTCACGGGTATTTATCTGTAATCAAAAGTGAAACACGAAGCAGGAGGTTAACGACAAAGATTAAAACTAACTGAAACTAACTGCTTTCCGAGGGAGAGTACTGTTGATAACTTTGGATACAGAGTGAGAAGAAATTTGTTTGTCGGAAAATGTATCAATCGAGACACCTTTCCTCCCTTCTGGTAGAGCACAAAAAATTGTGCCGACCACTGAAAAGTTTTTAGATTTTTATTTCACTGAACACATGAAATAAACACTTCATGCGTCACCAGAAGAGCACAAGATTGTAAGTAGAGCAATGAGTATGGAAAGTTACCTGAGATTTATTGGTTTTGCTTTACTTCGCTCTGTGATTGGTCCATAAAACTCGCGCCACACTCTCAACCAATCACTACTTGGTCGCCCGCGTTTTCCCGCGCTTTAAGCAGTTTGGTTACTTTCACCTTGAGTTTTCATTGGCTCTTTAAGGTTTTTTTTTTACATCTGATTGACTGTTGTAATAACGTTTGTTTGCTTTTCATCTGATTGGCTGTCGTGATGACGTTTGTTTTCTTTTTACGACACTTAATCGGAAAATGCTCGAACAACAAAATAAGATAGTTAAAACACGCCTACAATCATAACTTGCCTTTATACATCTCACAAATGTCGGTTGCGCTTGAACCAGGGTTTTGAGGAGACCATCAATTTTTTCCTATAAAAAAAGTAGAAAGCAAAATTAGACAAGACACCGTGAAGGCATCGATGGGATTTAATGATATTAAACTGTGGGATTCTTTAACCCTTTCCCTCCCAGGATCTCATTACTGTCTGTCTCACAATTCCTATGATGTTAGTTCGGAGAATTTGGTTTTGGATCAACTAAAAACATATTTTTTGATAGTTCTCTTTATTCTCTTTACTTGTCTGTTTGATATTGTACTGATATTGTAAGGAGAAATTCTGTCTTGGTCAGTCACGGGAGTTAAGGCTTATCTATTCGAAAGACGAAAATTTGATAAATAAGCGAGGAGGAAGAGAATCTCACAATAACCGTCCACGGCAAACTTTCTACTTTTGCTCGAGACATCAAAACATAAAGAAAAAGATTAGCCCTTGGAAAACTGACCTGAAATCCTTGAGAAAATGTACGAAGAGGAGCATCAGCTGTTCCTGCGGGGCTGTTATTTAAGTACAAAAAAAATTTTTTAAACGATGCTGCAAGAGGCAAGTACTGCTTGCTCCTTTAATCCTTTACATTCCAACATCCGTATGTATATTCTCCATACTGTTCTCTATACATTTACAATTATATTGGTAAGGAGAATATGTTCAAACATCGAGAGCTTCTTGAGGCGGTGGTCACTTCCTTTATTCGCAAAGCCTTAATGTTTGATTCAGCAGTGGTATCATGATGTATACAGAAGTTAAATGCAAGGCACTCTTAGGGGCTAAAGGGCTAGCATGTTATCTTCGGCTTAGAGCATTCTTTCACCTCAGAGTCAGTCCTGTATTGCAATATTTTTTTATTTAACACTGTACTTTGATTGGTCGAGAAAAATCACACCACTCTCTCAAACGGTCAGATGCAAGCTACAACCGAGCACAACCTGGTAACTACCCGCGCTTTCCCGCACTTCAGACAGCCTCAATGACAAGAGTTCAAATGAACCCCTGGAAAAACAACGTTCTGATGGTGTAGAGCAGTATTCCTTAAATCAAATTAACCCGTGACGAGAATCATGGATAGTAAATAATTGTGATTGTCTCTCACCTTTGCGCCTCCTGAGCAGGGGTAGGTGATATCCTGTAAAGCACCCCCTTGGGAGCAGTTGTCTGTCCTTGCTGAGGTTTCAAATCATTGGTGAAAAGATGCGTAGCGAAACCAAAATTACAGTTCTTAAAAAAAAAAAAAAAAAAAAAAAACACTCGCCGTCATATACCACTACCACTTTTCTGTAAATCTGCGTGAAGAGCCACTAAAAAACAGTATTAATTGGTATACACGGAGAAACACAGCTCCGCGGTCGACGTGACAGACACTTGGCGTCACAGAATACCTTTGTTGCGTGACGTTTAAGTTAATTCTGTCTTCCTCGAGATTGAAATAACAATATACATTTAGTCTTTTGCCACTTGACAGAACATTGTGAAGAAATACTAAGCAATACTAATCCCTTGCCTGGTGAAGCCAGTCTGAATAACAAACCTGTCTTGAGAACACACAGATAATGTCATCATTAATTGAGTCTCTGTTGATGTTAAGAAGAGAGCTGGCATCATATACGACCTACAGAGAAGCAGAACTAAAAGTCAGTGTGTGCTGAAGAACGTCGCGTTCAATGCGTCGCGTTTAGAACGTCGCCGTCCCAGAAAACTCTCCCATACCAGGTTCCCAATCAGAAAAAGGTGTGACGACTTTGATTCGGTTTGACCACAATTCAACACTCTGTAATGTTAGCAAAGAGAAGAAGTAACCTCTTTTCCAGGACCTCTCTCCTCTCACCCTCCCCACTCCCCACCCTCTACCCGTTTCCCTCCGCACTAAAGCCAGAAAGAGAGAGAGAGGAGGGAAGAAAAAGAAAGAAAAGAACCTGGACACGAGGTTGAAGTAAAGAGCTTCAACTCACATTTCCATTGTAGTGCGATACTCCAAAACACGAACTCTCGGGATCTGGATCAAAAAAGCTGAAACGAAGAATCGTATCAAAGAAATTACAAAATTTTTTAATTGACTCTACCCGCTCCGGTTCGGAATCTGACCACCTCCATATCGAACTATACAAATACAATATGCTATTTTGTTCTTCCACTTTAATCTCGGTACAAATAGAGTTCTCCGTCGGTCATAGTTGTTTCTAACGTTAATTAACATTTTTATCTTACCTATCGCTGTCTTTATGCTGTCCCTTTACTTTTTGTAAGAAGTTCTGGTAGCTTCCTCTGTAAGAAATATTAGCCTTGTTGATACTTCCGCAACATTACCATCTAACATACAATCTTCGCTGTGAATCCAAAACTTTTATACTAGTTCTTTATTGCGTTTGATCACTCATTTACCGTTTTTCTTTTACCATTTATTATACATAGACTGTTTTAAAAATAACCGTTGCTCATATGCGTGTACCTTTTCTCGCGTCGATTAACACTAGCTCGTTTTCCGAGCATGACAGAAACGTGTCACAGGTTTTACCGCCTTAACACTACTGAGTTGGAACGGTTAAATTTTTTCTATTTCTTGCTGAATTTTTTGTTATGATTAAAGCTACTGGAGCAGTGTTCTTTTGTGTGTCGAAAAAACCAAATCCAAAGCAATCCTTAGCGAGCAATCAGAACAAAGGTTTACATCATCGAAAGTAATTTGGGATAGCTTTGCTTAGCTTATTGGGAGCGGAGAGCGCTTCAAACGCGGGAAGACGCAAACAACCAAGACGACTTTGTTTCATATTTGCACCTGATTGTTTGAGAAAATGGCGAGAGGTTTCTGGACCAATAACAAGGAACAGAGAGCGCTTCAAACGCGGGAAAATGTAAACAACCAAGACGCACTTTGTCTCATTTTTGCACCTGATTGTTTGAGAAATGGCGAGAGGTTTCTGGACCAATAACAAAGTAATCCTTAGCGACCAATCAGCACAAAGTTTACATTACCATTAGCCAATGAGAGGTCAAGGTGATTTTTATCAAGCAAACTGCTTGGACATGGGAAAACGGGAATGACTAAGTCACGATTGTTTTAGGTTTTGCATCTAAATGGTTGAAGGGATTGCGCGAGTTTTCTGAACCAATTTTTTGGAGCAAAGGTAAGGAAAACCATAACAATCTCAAATTACTTTCGATAATCAATTGAAAGTTGTTCTACATGTTCACGAGCAATAAAAAAGGAAAAGACAACGGTTCTTAAAGAATGTAACAAACATAGACCTTCACTGTTTAGGAAAAAGAAGACCTTTCCATAAAATGAGAGTTGTAAAGCGCGATCACCTTCTTACCTTGCGAATAAGCTTTCTTTATCCAACACTGTTAAAATCCCAGCACGCTATAATAAAGAGAGTCAAATGAAAATTATGATAGCTTTCGATTCGACACCAAACAACGTAAGGTCTTCCAGTAAATGGTTTGAACCCGGGGGTAACATGTAATAGCGTACTTTGACCGTCCGGGTGAGTGTAGTACCGAGAAGGATTGTTGTCGGTGGTGATGACTGGCGTTTCGACAACCTGTGCGGAAGTCATCTTCAGAGTCAAACTTAAGATCTAGCAACAACGAAGGGTTGTAATCATGACAAATATAATCATCAGATAAGAATTTTATGATAGGGCGGATTGACAGCTTACAGGATGCCTTTCGAAGGAAACTAAAGTATGTACTATCGCCAAACAGAACAGAGACCAACATCACAAGAGGTCAATGAGAACTCAAGACAATTATATGCAAATGTCGTCAAGCGCGGGAAAACGCGGACGACCCTGACGCGGTTTGTTTCACTTTTGCATCTGATTGGTTAAGAAAATGGCGAGAAGTTTCTGGACCAATAACAGGAAACAGAGAGCGCTTCAAACGCGGGAAAACGCAAATAACCAAGACGCACTTTGTTTCATTTTTGCACCTGATTGGCTTGGAAAATGGCGAGAGTTTCCATGACCAGTTTTAGAGAACAGAGAAGCAAACCAGTAAACTCCCGAATCACTTTCAACATTTTTGGAAAATGTTTTTAAAATTGCTCTCAGGCATTTTTTAACGTACCTGGCAAGTGAGTAGCTCAATGCACGGAGCGTTATCAAAGTAATCCACTCCAAAATCTGAAAGAACACCGTCTTCCCTGTAGAATGAAGAGAGGTGAAAAAATTAAGGCTTGGATCTTGGATCCTTCCTAGAGAGGGAAATGTTAAAAAAAAATCTAGACGCAGCTTAAAAAGAAAAACAGATTTGAAGCAATACCTGCTGTACTCTTCTCTGCTCTTGAATATATGAGTGTTGTAGAAATGCTGTAATGTTTCAGAGCACAGATTTACACAGAGCTGTTCAAGTTGATTCACCTATTACAAGAGAAGGACAAAAAACAAAAATCAATGAGACCCAGAATTGACAAAAACAGATTCCAGCAGATAGTGAAGGGCAAACTCTTCTTGTATAAAACACCTGAGAGACTAATCATTAAAAAGATTCTTCCACTCAGTGTTGGTGAAGGGAAAAGAAAAAAAAAGGGGGGGGGGGGTTACTATGGTAACAAAAAGAGGGACAGGTAGGGGAGACCCCCAATGGCTCAAAATTTGTGATCCAAAGAATTATCAGCCTGATACAAGATGGAAGTGCAAGTTGAGGGCAATAAGCACTTAACTTTGTAGCTATGATATTCACCATGCCTAGTACATTCCTTGACTTATTGACAGTTATTGGTCCATGTCATACCTCACTGTTTTCAAAGCCAAACATATCAATGATGCCGATGAGTCCAGAGGCTCCCTTGGTGAACTGGAAACTACCATCCAGGCTGGGAGTGGATGGGGGAGTAATCACTGATAAAATATGAAACAAGATAGAAAATAAATTGAAGTTAATAAGGTAAACATCAGATTTTTTATGCTAAAAAAGTTATCTTGCTGATGTAAGGCTAGTGAAATCCATAAACCCTCTGGCCTCTTAAAATAAAAATTTATTTTGGTGAGCCAAACATGTTTCTATTAGCAGGCTTAACAACCTTAATGAAACTCTTGTTAGTCTTGAAGAACATGCATACTACCAGTTGAATAATGAAAGGAAAAATATATATTACCCCAGTTTTCACCAAAAGGAAAAAATGAAGTTATATTATATTTTAAGAAACTGTCTAACTTATTACTTACACAAAATTGTACAAAATTCCAAAGAAAATTAATTTTCAATTCAATGTTTCAAATTTCACAATACCAGGAAGTGATGCCATTAGCAAACCATTGCTGGAGGTAAGTGGACTTTTACCCAGAGACCCATTTGATCCAGGAGAACTGGATGCAGCCCGCAATGACTCATAAGATCCTTGGGGTGACACTGACATCAGACTTGCAGGTCTCTTGTAGCTGTTGACTCGTCGGACAATAGCAGCTACTGTCCTGCAGTACAGTGCCTTGGCAAGACTGTCTCTGTTTGAATTTGCCTAACAAAAAGGAATCAAAAGACCCTTTGAGTCAACTCTGAATAGAGAGGAGGATTTGGAGTTGAATGTCAGTTCGAGACAAAGGGTTATTGGAGATTTTGTTTACTCATCCAATTGAATCCCTTCTTGATTTCTATGAAACTTGCTATTAAGCAATATTGCATAATCCAGTCTTGCATAATTTTGACTGCTCTTCGTTACTCATTAGGTACATTTCCACTTGCTGAGCACTTAGGATAAAAGAGATTGTCAATTAGTTACACACCTAAACTTTGATCAACTTACAGTAACAGAGTCACACAGCGATCTAAGAATCTGCCCTCTCACATTCTTGGTTTTTGTGGTCAGACCTCTGTACAATGAAACCCCAGAAACACCAAGAAGAGCAGCAACAGCTTTGATTTCTGAAAAAAATAGAAGAAATATTTTCAACCCTTTAGTGCCCTCATTTAGATCCTTCATTTGATGACTGGATTATTCCCTAATACTTGAAATTATTACACCTACCATTATTTCCCTTGACATCAAGTTCAAGACCTTCACCATCAACGAACTCTACATTTCCAAGTAGAAGAATTGCCACTAAAATTCTGAGAACATCCACAAAAGGGATACCCAGAGAGGCCAGAGCTCCCTTAAAAAAGAAGTAGTCCATAAATTAAAAAAAATATATGCATAGTCAAGACAAAGACTCAAAGGATGCAAGGTTTACTGACATGGACCATCTAACTACATTAAATAGAATAGAAATAATGTACAAATCAATTACAAATATCCTTTGACATTGTATGTTGGATAGTTGGTTGTTTTGTACTGAAATCTAATGGAAGCCTCACACAAGACCTGTCACAAGCTGATTCTCTATTTGCTTTTCCTGCCTTACAAAATATAACAATTTGATCATTAAAAACTTATTAGATGTGCTATTGTGTAGTTCTGCAGTGTGTTTTTAAACTACACATAAAAACAACTATAGTAATAAAATATATAAATGAACAATCATCAAAGATCACAATTACCCTCCACTGCTCAAATTTAGCTCTGAACACTTCCTCATCTTCATTGTAAGGAATGGGACTGCTACTCAGGTAAGACAAAGTGTGCACACTGTAGCCTTGAAGATGAAGCTTAACTAAAAAAAATGAAGAGCAAGAAGGCAAGTTGAGGTAGCCCAGTGTTATACAACCAGTCAAGTCTGAAGAAATGTGATGAAAAGTGAACAAAAAAAATTATATTTAAGGATATCTCTTGATTTAACACTAAATTCTCAGTTCTCAAATTTCAAAAAATGTATGGCAAACAGTGTGGAGAATTGTTATTTAGATCTTGGAACTGATAGGATTGAACCAAGAATAAATTTGAAATACAGCCTCTCCTTACAATACCTCTTTCCTCCTGAGTGATCCCATATAACAGCTGATAAAATATGTGAAAATTTCTTTCCTTCTCTGGTGGACATACGACTCTTGTCTGCAGCAACAAAAAGTCAGTTCTCAGAGTTGTAGCTAATGATAAGAACTGTGTAGACTTTAAGGGAATTCTGGTAACAACATTTTGTTCCCAATCTTGTGCAACCCCTTCACAGAAAGGCTTCCATGCTTCACATTTATAAAATGGCAAAGGCAAGACATGGGAAGACAACATGGTTAGCAATCACTCAAATTTTCCTAATTTCCTCACCTTATTACGGTGGCCTAGATACTCAAGTGTGTAAAAAGTTTATCAAAACAGAATTTCATTCAAACCTTTTCATGTTGTTGGGGATAGTGGGATTTGTTGCTTGCTCTCCAGCAGGCAATCAACTCTTTCTCAGCCAGCAAGTTTAATCAGCAGCCCATCTACACAAAAGTCTTTCAACACAAGATGGGACAAGAGTTGTGATACCTCCACTCCCTCAGCCCTACACCCTTAATGAGGCATCCATGGGGTAAGGGTAACAGTGTATTATGGCTTTGATCAGAAAGCATGATATAAAAGTGTATTATGGCTTTGCTCAGAAGCATGATATGAAAAATGGATTAAGATTTTGTTAAACTCTTCCTTCATATTCAACACCTTGCAGATACTTACAGAATCAAGGAGATAGCACTGGAGTTTGGTTCTCGATATCAAACCATCAGACAAATGGAATTCAAAAAGAGCCCCCTAAGACGTCAAGAAAGACAATTTGCAGATTAATATATTATTCAAAGAAAAAGAAATTGAACAATTTTTACTTAAAAAACATGGAAGGTATAAAATACACTAGCAGTATAATCATACCATTCTGGAGGAATCTGAGTTTGTTGGGGTCTTTGCGTTTCCTAGAGATTGGATCACAGCTACAGAGGCCAGAAAGTGCTAAAGGATAAAACAGAGTCAACATTTTATAACTATCAAAGGACAATGAATTCAGATACCAACTAAGCCCTCTAAATTTATGGCCATTCATCATTACATTGTCATATTAACTCCCTTGCTGTTACCTCACATCGAGATACCCAGATATTCAGTAGGTGATGTTATGGCCAAAACCTCCATAAATGGTCATTTATTCCTGATTTTAATATCACTGTTGCCCAAAAGGCTGATTACATATTTCAAAGTAGATCACCTCAGTAACTGACACATGTCTCCTTTCTTAGCATATTTACCCACTGGATCTTCCTCAGTGTAATGGATGTTACTATATAAATACTCTAACCTTACAGATATCAGAATCCATTCCTCCCCCAGCCTGTTCTAACAGATGATGGACAAGAGCCTGGGCTGTGAATGTCTTCCCACTACCTCCACTCCCACTGAAAAATAAAAAAATTTCATTTTTTATGTGGAAGGTGTAAAATTAACCTCTTGCCCTGAGTATTGCTCACCAGATTAGGAGGTCCAGGCAAAGACATTAAGGTTATAGCTTTACATAGTTTATCTCTACTGTTAGTAGTGATCATAGATTGCTGATATGTTTTTTTGTTGTTGTTTTCTCATCATTCAGAGATTTCATCACTGTTCTAAATTTCAAGACTGAGATTATCCTATATGGTGTTGTTACAAATTTATTTGGAAGAAATATACAATCTACCTTAGAACAATAACTTGTGGAGCACTGGAATAAGCCAACTTCCTTGTCACTCTTTGAATAACTGTCTGTAGTCTTTGATTATCAGAGAAACTCTGAGGCAGGCCTGTTCTGGACTGAGCTCGATCAAATGAATTCATAGCAATCATCACAGAACCTAAATTTGTCTGGGAAAAAGGAAAAGAAGAGACACAAGAGATTAAAGAAAATAAACACTCTGAGCTTATCTGTCGAGGCCAGGTGAGTGATTTAAAAACTTTTCAAATGTTCTCCTATTCCTAACATTCCAACTAGGTTATTATACTGGAAAACCAATCAAAAGTGTAGTCTAGCAGTTTTACAAAATAAACTTCAATTTTCTATGGGTTTACCAGTGCAATAGATGATAGGTTTTTGACCAATCAGGGCACTTTAAGTATCTAAATTATTTTATTATGGTTAATTAAGATATGATGGATATTCAGAACCTTCAGCACCACAAAATGTAAATAGCAAATGATACTAATTTCCTAAATATGGAACCAAATATTCTAAATTTTCCCGTGAAGGGAAAACTTACCACACTGGTGAAATGGGAATTTAGACATTGTACTTAAAGGTTCAAAGGTAAAGAAGCATTGATTTCCATCAGATGCATATAAACAAGAAGAGGTTCTATGCTGCTGTTTCCATTTTATCACCTACATAATTTTCAGCTGCAGCACTTCTTTGTTGAAGAGCTCCCAGAAGTGCAGCTTCTGTGATTGGTCCAGTGAGATGGACTAAGTCATCTGGTGGTAGACTTGTTTGATTACCACTCACTGAATTTGAAGCCATACCATTTGTCTTAACTGAAAGAACAAAATGAATCCAACTCAAGAGAAAAACTCACGACTTTATTTATAAAATAGCTCTTATTTCAAGACTAATGATTCAATGTGACTAAATAAATAGACAATCATGGATGCAAAAAGCACTATTCACCTGTTTGGTGTAGACTAATACTGAATATAATTACCTTCTCTATGATCTGGTAATGTAACTCCATTGAGCCTGATGCTTGATTTTGCTGTTAGTAGGGCTCTTAAGCTCATCAGTTCTGTGCCTAGTTTCTTTAAGGGGTCTTTCACAACAGATCCAGCTTCTACAATCCATCAAAATATAATGATATTATAATTATTATCAAAGGAATATGAATATTTGCCTTTGGAAGTTACAGCTCTCTGAGGATATCTGTTATATTTTGATAAAGTAAAAACCACAAGACCTGGTTGTTCAAAGGGTGAATAACATTATCTGCTGAATAAATCTTTACCCAGTTGATAGCACAGTATGTTTTGTCAACACTTATGCCCTGGATAGCGATTTATCCTTTGGATAGCATTATCCACCCTTCTCTACAACTGGACCCAGAAGTTTTTCCTATCAAACACAAAATTAGGGTATCTGCAAATCTCTATCAATTTTCATCCCACACAGTATTAAAAATTGTACACTTTTTAACACCTGTGTATGATATTATACATTTTTGGCACATCAAACTAGAAAATACCTCATTGAAATAACAGATGGTATTTCTCGCTAAGTTTTACATATTTTTCCTTTCTTTTGCATCCAGTTCTCTTAAGCTTTTCACTCCCAAGTTCTCAATTGTAATTCTCCTTACTGTCTGTCATACAATTTTTATGAAGTTGGTTCAAAGAATTTGGTATTGGATCCACAAATAATCCCCTAATTGATATTTTCCTTTATTTTCATCACTTGTCTGCTTGATATAATGTTGATATTATATGGAAAAGTTATGTCTTGGTCACTCATGGCACTGTAAGGGTTTATATATTTTTTCTTCAATTCAATGAAATCAATCTTCAGTTTAATTCAAACAGAATCTCAAAACAAAAAGTAGAGAACACATTCCTGCGGAGTTTGAATACTGTACATCTTCAATTTGCACAATCTTTTCTTCACTCATTTATCTTGCCTATGAACATCAACCTTTCACAAAAAATGAAATTTGAAATCATCGCATTCTTTCAATTTGTGTTTGGTTCAAGTTTAATTGATAGAAATTTACCCCCAGAGATAAGAAACGAAGAATGTTACAGTTCAGAAGCACAACGCTTTCCATACTAATTACATTACGCGTCTGCTGTTATCTAGTACATAATCTACCTCAATCTTAATCTCATGCGTTATTTGATATTTGATACCAGACTAGAAGTTTCAACTAATGACATTACAAAGCCCAGAATACATCCACGATTTTAAAATTACTTCAGCTCTGTTTCAGCCAAGTTCATATTTCAAAACTGCCCTATTTATACCCAAAGTCAACAAACAAGCAATGCGTAGATCCTTGGGGCCAATTTAAGTTGGTCATTAACTAATAATTCCCACCTTTCCCCTTTAAGAGGCCGACATAAAGATGACGTACTCATTAACAAAGAATTCTCTTCTCAGGAAACATTATTACTGCTTCTAAATCACAGCAGTGGTTGGAGGTAGACAGTCTGTGCCTCTGCTACCAATGTGCGTTTCGAACCTTTGATCAATTGGTATCACTTTCTAGCCTACCCTCCATATCATTCTCAAATCTGTGTTTTGGTGTCCCACATATTGCACAACGATTAAGTTCATCCCCTCTTTTAAGACTCTTTATCTACCATAATCTACTCCTTTTACATGAGATAACTTTAGTATTTAGTAACCCTGCAATTGATACAAACAATTCAAAAGCTTGGAAGTAACTGAAGCGACGCTTTTCAGAAGTACACAACAAAATTCCTCTCTCACCTCGTTTGGCAGCATGCCTTCCATCCAAATTTTTCAGAGCAGGACTTGAGAGTAAATCATTGTGCAGTAATCCAAGCCGTTTCCCCATAGCACTGAGTTCCTGGAACAATCTTTCGTTTACATCTGACCCCTGTAACTTTTCGTGATCCCTTCCATTTGCCAGAGAACGCTCCCTAAAAGCTTTAAGCTCCAACCGAAGTTCTCCATTTTCCTCCGCTAATTTCGATGTGAGCTTCTTCTCCTCCCGTAGTTTCCTCGAATCTTCATTGTGTCGAACTTGAAAGCTTTTCAACAACTGTTCATGAGTGTGTCGTTCACTTGAGATTTCTTCGCGCATGTTAACAAGTTCATCTCGGAGCACTGCATTTTCCTTCCGGATACGATCAAATTCACCAATATCCTGAGGATTTGGATTCTTTGCAGCCATTTGATATGCTCTGTTAAACGTTCAGCGGGAGGACATTAATCCCTACAGGCTAAAACAAGAGAGCTTTTAACCGCCATATCGCCGAACTGACCCCACACACAGCCTCGAAGTTTGAAAGATTTGTTCACTACAAAAACGCTGTCAACCTGGCCAATCACAGCGCCGAATTCACTCCCGGGTCGGTGAAACCGACATTTCCTGTCTTCAGCTTCGTCTTTCACATCTTCCCCAGACTGGAAAGTCTGAGACGAAGTCATGCAAGTTTCTTTGTCAGGCTTTAGGAAGGTTTTTTTTTCGGACGGGGAGTTGTTTGACAGCAGCATGCATAACATATACAACAGGGGAGGGGGAGGCTAGCGTAAAAATCCACTCCCCCTCCCCCTCCCCTTCAACAGTCTGGACAGTGCTCGATCCAGATGACTCGTGCTACCGAATCAGGCAAATTCTATGCCAAAGGTGTTTTTTAAACTGACTAATTTAACACAATAGACAGTGACTTAGCTCTTTTCTTTTCTTGTGTGATTAAGTTTGACAACAAAAAGTCGTTGTCTCTCTACTAAGAGATTCAATCATTGAGGAAGGAAGTTGGTTGTCTCAATTAGGAAGTGGAGGGCAAGGCTCCGCTTGTTTGCTTTCTGTGCTACGATCAAGATGTTAACAAAACAATTAAATATCAGCAAACGGAAGAGAATATACTGTTTTATTCCGTTTTTTGAGGTAAGACCTGTTCTAATATTGATCGATTTAAAGATACGGCTCGAGGCCCTTAAAGTTACTGCAGGAGTGGATCCAGGATTTTGCACGAGTGATTTGCACCAACTTAACTAGGAGTAAAACAAGAAAGATAATTGATTTCTTGAATTAATGAAAAAACTGAGAAATAATAAACGCGGACTTGGGATCATTTGAGTTACTTCTAAAAATCACTTGAGCTACTCTGGATCCAATCGCGTACTGGTACAGTCAAGAAATCGACCTTAGACCTCGTTGAGCAAAAAACAAAAAAAAATATGATAGACCGTTGACACCTTTATCTGCCTCAGATAACAGAAACAGGTGGTTAGCGGGAAAACGAATTATGATATGGTTATTTAATTATCCTTTCATTTTTCTTTCTCCAAAAAAGGAAAACATGCCTTTATCAAAAAGTTGAGGATAACATTATGACTGGCAAGTGTCAGTTTTGGCCATTACAGGCTACACTTTCTATCTGGTTACTGATGCAACAGCCCATTAGGGTGTTAGAGGTCTGTAAGTCACAAGTCATAAGTGAGCATTTCACAAAATTTTCTGGTGTCCTCCCATCCTTGCAAAGGTTACAACACTGATAAACAAACTGAAAATGCACCAAAAATGCTCTTTAATAAATAAATTGCCACACTTTTACAAATACAATTAACAAAAGGTTTTTGACCAGACTAAGCACACGTAGTATTTCAGTTATTTAAAAAATGTTACTTTTACAAAGTAGACCTTTTTGCATATATTTGACAATTTAATGCTACACCATTTTAAGAGTCCCACAAACAAGTTCAATGTTTCTATTAAGCTTACAAAGAACCTCAGAATTCCTATGGGTGAAAATTATTAAACAAAAATTGAGAACTTTTTAATTTTGTCAAAAATTGGACAGACTCATCACACCTTATTGAAAATTGCTGTAACAATTATTTTTATCTTTCACCAGAAAATTGAACAAATTTTTGCATCCAAGGCAAAAGATTGTCACTTGCAACAACATTCTCTTACCAAGTTAGCTAATAAAGGAAGTATACAAAAAGTACCAGGACAAGGCCATGCAGATGAATAGCAAATGAAAACTAAATCAAGGCTTACAAAATTCACTCTGTAGCTCTTATAATGTTTTCCTTTAAATAGTAATCTCACCTTTAGATAAATACTCTGATAAATTCATATCCATTGTATTCAATGTACAAGTCTGTTGTCACATCAATCTACATGTTCAACCATAACTAATATATTCTTAGCCTATGTCAGTTAATGCGAAAAGTTTGCAGCCAAGGTTCTTGAACTTCTCTTCACCTCTGAAGCTTTTTTAGGCCTCTGCACTGCATCTTTGGTTGTAACATGTCCTTTAATTCTTGGTTGAGCACTCTCTGGTAGACTCAGTCGTTTCTTTGCCCTTGGTTGAGCCGTAACTTTGGGTTGTTTAGTAATACTTCCAATACTTTGTCTTGATGGTCTATTTGGAGGTTGATATCCACCTCCCAAGCTAGATCTGGATGGCTTATCAGGTTTTCCATATGTATTACCTGTTGTTTTGGGTCGGTTAAGAGCATCATCCTTTTGAAACCTGGGATTACTAGGTGAAAAAAAAAAATTGAATTAACACAGTGAAAAAAAAAAAAAAAAAAAAAGGAATTAGTGTGGCCTAGCCACATGCAAAAAAGATGTCTACTCTCAGAGTGGCTAAATGCAAAGTGTGATAAAGTTAACTCACAGAGGTTTCTCTGGGGCTGTGGCTGGTCTGGAGTTTGGCTTCTTAGACCTTTGAAAAAGTAATTGAAAAGAAACTTACATTACATTTATGAAAAGCAAATGAAACCAGCCTTGATCACACAGACTATAAACATTATCCAAGTTAAGAATATATAAGGTTTAGAAGTAACACTAAAAAAAGAAAAAAAAACTCAGAAAACTATGAAAACCAGAAATATTTCTAGAATTTCACTGCCTTATCAGGACAGTTAATCACAGAGTAATCGACCTGTAAAAAACTGCAATAATTAGTCTGTTGCATGCGTGCATTTGTAAAACATTTCTGGAGTAAAAAAAAATAGTCAAGATAAATGCAACATACCTTGCTCTGTCAGGTAGAGGTGGAGAAGTATGTCCCTGCTGTGGTTTTAGAACCCTTTACACAATCAAACACAACAAAGTTGGTACATGAAACACTGTAATCATTATAAATGAATGTTACCTTGGAGTTTTCTGAGCCACCTCAGAATGGCTACAAGCACTTTGTTACTTATTACTACTACTGTTTTGGCAACATCATACTTACAGGCAAAAATTCAAAAGCATGCATAAGAAAATCCAGTTTTTGCATAGTATTTAAGAGGATTATACATTTACCAACTGCTTGCACACAAACTAACCTGATGTTCCAAGTTTTCTTTTTCTTCTCTTCCTTCAGTTCAGGTTTTGGCTTCACCTCTGAATTTACAGTTTGTGTTACAGAGCTTGGAATGAAAAAATTAAGGACCAAAAGTAACAAGACAGATTTAATATTGTCTCTTATATGGCAATGTTCTTTGAAATCTCAATCCAAATAATCATATAACAGTGCAACTTACAGTAATCTAAGTTTTAAAAGGATACGTATCTAATCCTTCCTGTCTTCTCTGTATTGCCCGTAAAGTGACAGCAGATAGTCTTGACTGGCCTATAGAGCTCTGATTATGTCACAAAATGAAGAAACTATTATTATTACAGAACTGTAAAATTTATCCAATACCATATGAAAATGCAGATTAAAAAGTAGGGAAGGATCATTTCTCTCTTTCAGTTTCTTACCAAAAAGAAGCTGTAAAAAAAATCAAGAGCAGCATAGAAGACAGTTTTTTCCCTTCAAATTTGCTGTAACTGTTATTCAGTTAATAGGCAATCTATCATGTTCAACTTGACATGTATCATGCAACTAGTTCAAATATTTCACCTTCTTCAACTTCTCACTAACAAGGGAGCTCACTTAACAATTAAAGGCTATCATTGTCAGAAGGTTTCAATGTGTCAACAAATGAGAAAAATGATGTAAACAGTTCTCACTTACCCTGGTGTTTCTGCACTTAGCCTCTTTAGCTCTTGCTAGGTCTCTTGAATGGGCTATGTAGGACATTCTCTCCCTTATAGATATCTTAAAGAACACGTCATGTAGACTACCTCTTGCTATTCTTAGCTATAAAGGAAAGAAAAAGTTTCCATTTTCAGGAAGACTTTCCAAACCAGAACTTTAATCAATCACAGTCAGACAATTAATCAGTGTCAAAACTTCACCAAAGCACCGGATAGGGAGCAATGGAGTGACATTATAATCTTTCAAAACAACATCTCCCTCTAACACCATGTATATCCCTTCCCTCAGGTTCAAACTTCTGTGCTCTGTTTCAACAATTGGGAAAAAAAATCTGTTTTCAGATCTTGGGATCTAATGTTTTGTAATCATAGAAGTAAAAGGAAGGGCAGAAAAAAAGATCACTCAATCAGAACAAGCACAAGTGACCACAATGAGATGGCTGGGAAAGTTTCCCCAAAGTTTGTCAATTAATGCAGTTGAAGTGAACATACATGGCCCTCAACATTCTCTTTGAGTATCTTTTCCTGAACAGACTGTGTGTCTTCTTTACATATATCTTCCAACACATCTCTGGTGTCCTGTGGAAGCAAAACTGAAGTCAATCCATTGTAATTGTGTTGAGTTAATTGTGATTATTTTCATGGTTCCTAATTTCAAAATAAAGTACAGTACTTAATAAAGTATCCTTACCTTGACTGTCTTTATCAAGCCTTGTACCTTGTCAGTTTTCATTAATAACCTCGTTAGAAATCCTTTGGCATGGGCTGAGAGTTTGGCAAATTTATCCCATCCATTATACACAAACTAAGGAATATAATACAAAATGTCTGAGACCCACAGTGATCATTGCTTCTAATAAATTTATACCCCTACAATATTGTTCAGAAAGAAATGATTGTATGAAATAAATTGACTAGACTCAATTCCTTGGGAGATGACTTAAATTCTCAAAATGATATCGAAAAGTTGGAGAACTGGAATAGAGAATTTGTTTCATAATCAAGAGCTCCTTTGGTTGACGATCATATCCTTTACTCTTGCGACCTTACTATTTGATCCAGAGATGATACTGTAAAGAGAAATTAGGTGTAGTTACTCTTAGCAGTCAAAGGGTTAACCTAAGATGACTCAAGTATCCTAATGATGAATTGTCATCAAGTTTAAAAGTTATGGTTGAGATGTCCAATATATACATTATGAATACCTGGTCATCCACTTCTGGTGAGAAGATCTTGGAATCCTTCCATGCAATGAAAGGATTCATGTTTCTCTGCTCACTTTTTCTTCTATTCATAACATCACCAGGAACATTCTCCACAAAAGCATTGTTTCTGTTTCCTCTGAAAACCTCAACCTCCTCTCCAACATGGTTCTCTTTATCAGAAGATGATTCAGGTTCAACATTGTCTTCATCATGGTTATCAAAATCAAGATTCTCTCCACTTAGCTCTAGAATAGAGTACATTTCACCTGGAGGCATTGAAATAGGTCTACGAAGGGGTGCTGTTCCTGGTCTGTGATAATCTGCAGATGATCTATCAGTTTTAACTGTATGACTTTCTGATTCCTCAAGGAGTGCCTGTGTTAGGTCTGATTGCTTTGTCAAAGGTACAGAACTAGACCGTGGTCTCTCCATTGTACAATGCTCGCTGTGGCTATGAAAGGAAGCATATGTATGCTCTGAACCAATTCCTTGTACCCTTTTTTGTTTTTGAAGCCTTTTCAGCTCCTGTTGCTTCAGAGCATCTAGTTGCTTTTGTTTTTCCTCAAGGAGTTTTTGCCTTAGTTTTTCCAAGTTTGCCAGAGTTTTATCTTGGTCTTGGACAGCTGGTATATTTCTAGCTTTTTGTTTCTCAGACTCTTGTTTTCCTGAAACTATCTTTGAGTGAGTCTTGCCGCTTGGTATTTGCCTTGTGGATGGCAATCTTGTCTTGTCTTCAAAGTTTTTGTCATGGATGCTCTCAGCTGGTGAATCTGTACTCTGTTGAATGGAAGATCCTGTGGGCTGTGATTCTATAACGGATGATTGTACAGTTGGAGCACTGTAATCTATAAAGTGAAACAAAATGATAATCATTCCAACTTTAAAATATTACAAATTGTTGGCTGACTTGCTTTACTTACTGGACTTGATCATTAAATAAAGGATGAAAAATTTGTGTCCAATAGTGTAAAAGTCCAATTTATGTTCAATAGTATAACAAATTGAATTCAACTGCTATTAAACTATTTTTTTTATTTTCTCAATGCTGTTACCCTCTACACAGTCACAAAGGACTCCAAGGGAACAGTCAGGCATTGTCACCAACTTTATCAGTTTCATTGTTATATTTATTCCCAAACAATACTGAGTTTTTATATTTCTTTAGGTAATTTCATGATGAGAGCTAATTGTATACTTCATAATAATAATAACAATAATAATAATAAATATATTTATATATATTTAAGATTTAGTAGAAATTAAGTTATAATATTCAAACTATTTCTGAAAATGTAATATTGCTGAACACTTTCTTATCAATTCATAGATAATTTTCCATATAATCTTAAAAATACAGAGCAACAATATATTTGATGTCAAAGCAAATTAATTTTGTGACAAAAAAAGGCAAAGCATTTATCAATTATTAACTTATAGTCTCACCTGATGAGGCCACAGACAAAACAGTAGATGCAAGTGAATCAGACACTTGTCCCTTCTTGTCTAGAAACAATTCAAGGGAGCCTCGCAAAGTAATGTCTGAAGCAACAGAGAGTTTTGAAAGTGGTCTTTTAAAATCAAAGGTTTCCTTATTTTGAGTGGAGCTAAACAGGAAATCTTCACTTGCAAATTTTCCAGGCAAACTTGTAAATTCTTCCCTAGAATTCTCATTTCTTAATGGATGGCCATGGTATTTATATGTTCCTCTTTGATTTCCAGAGTTGGTATTTGTAGATTCTGGTAAATAATCCATCTGACTGTTCACTCTGCTTGTTTGCTCATTGTGATTACTGCTTTCAGTCCAGTCTCCTAGTAATGAACTGAACTGTTCTTGTTTTGAATTTCTTTCAGTGTTGGAAGTAGCATCACACACATATCTTCTATCAAAGTCAGTCTCAAACAAAGCAGATTGCATATTATTTGGATATAATGTTCTGCTTCCTGTCTGATCATTTTCTGAAGTAAGTGTCCTCTCTCTTAAATCTTGATCATCAAATTGAGCTTCAGTTGACTCCTTCAAATCCCTTTGTTTCTTACAAAACAAAACAATTATTATCCTCATTAAAATCCCAATGAAGAGTCACTGTTCAAGGTTAAAATGTTCTGCTTCATTTCATTATTATAGCCTGCCTCTTTCAAGAATGTGCTCTACATTCTATATTAGTTAGCAATGTTTTTCTCAAAGTTAAAGAGCTAGTTCTTGTCTTCTCACCTGAATCCTGTCCACGACTGACATGACTTGTAGGAGTAGACCTGAATACCTTTCTCTCCTTCTTTCAAACATTTTGGCTTCACATTTGACTGCTTCCCTTCTATGCTGACGCATTTCAGCTTGCTCTTTCTCTGTGAGCTGGAAACATAAATTTAAGGAGATAACAATTCAGATATTTGCTAAATTATATTACACCTAGTCTACCTTTCACTCAGACTAAACAATGAAAAATTGTAACAGGCAAACAAGCATAACAGGAGTATGTCACACTCCTGCTCTATCACTTGTCTCTGATGACTGAGAGCCTGGGACAAGCTAAATGAATAGGCATGGTTTTCCTGGATCCCATAATGAAAAAAAGTGTAGAAAAGGAGTTTGATGTAACAAGCCATTTTGCAGTTAGCCTGTTTTTACAAAAACAAATTGACTGTCATTAAGGATTATGGAAAACAGGATTTTAAACAACACAGTCCACTAGAGAGCAATTTAGGAATAAGCATTGTCTTTATTTCTGACAAGTGGAGCCAGGAAAGCACAACATGACCCATGAGACCCATTATCAGTTTAACAAATAATTGGGAAACAATTATTCTCAGTCCTAATTAACCAGTGAAAAAATTATGAATCAAGATTAAAACAATGCACTATGATATTCTACAAAGAAATATGAATAGATTGATGTTAATGACAATTCAGTAAATATCCTTTCATTAGCACCGTGATATTACGACTGATAAGTCACAAAAACCTTACTACTAGTCTTATACTGTATGCAGTTACAGCTTCCATAATGTTAAGCTAGGATAGCTCAAATGATTTCTACACCGACAAAATTACGAACATTACCAAGTGTAATTGGAAAGCTTGTTGTGAGCGTTTGAATACATCATCGGATATTTTTAATTTTAAAACTGAAAGGCTGTTGTTTAACTTGTGTACAGTAGAGAAATATGTAAAATTTGATTAGTTCATGAAACAGAAATTAAGCATACTGCATCCACAATATCCGAGTGCAGGAACGAATGATGAGTTTCGATACGATTACCAATGTAAAACAGCGCGGAAGGAGCTTAACAAAACAGAATAAGAGTACATCTGTATTTACAAACTTCATTTATTTGGCGATGACGCCAAAAACATTGTGTCAACATTTAAGCTTGCAACAGAAATCAAATCGGATTTGAGATTTACGGCTCTAAAAGTTTCTTTCTATAACGATTCAAGCATTAAAAATCCTACCAGAGGTGGTGGAAGGGCCATGCCATTGAATGACAGTATCGATTTGTGCGATTTCGTCGAAAAACGAGCGTTGTTTGCAAACCATTTGTCTTGCTGTTCACTGCTTGTTTGTTCAAAGAGCGCACGCAAACAAGATGGCATCTCCACTGAATGTTTTTCCTGAAATAAAAATGTTTCATAGCGTTTAACTCGATGTGCTTATATAAACAACTGCGTTAAGAAACTTCGCATAATCGTTAGAAAGCCTAAAAGAAAAAAGAAATGCAGAAAGACTGTGTACCTCAAGTTCCCGCGCCATTTTGAACCCGAGATTTAATCAGCGACAAGTCTGTGTACGAAAGGAACGACCGCAACAACCTGGGTTCTACCAAAGACCTAACTTGTCTCACCTGCGGGGGAGGGAGGGTATCATTTGCCTAAAGAAACATCAAAATAAATAAGCTTTAAAAAAACACTACTCCGACAAGATGGAAGGCATTTAGAATCTAAATTTATTTTCGTTTTTTTTTTTTTTGTAAACGTAGGAAAGGATTGTATCTTATTAAGCAAAAAATGCTCTCTAAATCGCTTCGAAACTCCCCTCACCCCAGAAAGGCTCTGGCTGGCATTCGTCATTCACTCGTGAGCTCTTTGTGCAGGAAAATGGGAAATTCACTCAGTGAACGCGAGAAAAATGAAGCTGACTTTGGAGAGGAATTGCACGATATAGTGCAACAAATATATCCAGAACATGCTGATTACATTACTGGTATGTTACTGGAGTTAGACTGCAATGAACTCAAACGAATTCTAACCTCAACAAATCGTGAAGAGCTTCTTTGTAAGATTCACAAAGCTGCAGGGCATGTACTTCCCGAAAGGTAAGCCAAAATTACCAGTTGGTTAGCATAAAGGCTTTTACTCGGACACTTTCGATCTCTTCCCCAACGATCTTCAAGATCGCGTGATTGAAATCCTGTTGATTCATTCCGAAGTCGAATTAAAGACAGCTGTTTTCCCTAAATAAATTATTACTATAGCTTGCCTTTGATTTTCTCAATCAATTCTTTAATCATTTTTTTTCGCCACCAAAATTGTCCCCTTGTCTTTCTCCTATTGGAGAAAATGGCAGCATTAATTAGAGGTGTTTAATCTTGTTAAACTTTCGGAAGATTTGATATTATTCTTTTAGATTTAGATAAAAGCAGATCAGATTATTTTTTCACTTGAAAGGTTAACATTAGTTTGTTTTGTTGTAAATATTCTCTACATTTCCGTCAAACAAAAGAGCCCACATAAAATCCTATTGTCCATGAAATTGCTCTATGACTATATAATTATTCTGATGAAAATTTATCAGAATTAACAAATTTGATTTATGATAAACCATGGTGCCTGTTTGTCTATCTTTGGTTCCTGCCACAGCAATAATTGTAACAAAAGTAAGTTTCAGTATTATTTATCAGTGTTATCTTTGAAAATTTATATGGAAATTTTTAAAGTGAAAATAGAGCTTGTGATGAAAATTTATTGTTTTGAACTGAAGGGTGAATTTTATTTGACATGTAAAAGTAACTTTTAGCAAAAATAAATCACTGGAAAATCACAAATACTGAATTTGTTCTAATTCCTATTTCTAATGGTTCGATTTTGTTTCTAGGGTGAAAACATTTCAAACTAGATAAAATTTTTCATTTTTTCTTTGTTAGAAACTTTGTACTATCAGGTAATCTAAAATGAAGTAAAATTAACTTGAACTTTTACAGCTTGGAAAAAAAACTGAGTGAAAGTTTTATTTTAACCACAATGTATACACCACTTCTGCAGGTTAGATTGTCAACTGGTCAAAGATAGCGCAAGTGAACAAAGCACAAACCCTGAAAATCCTTGTCTTTCTTTCAGAGGGAATTCACATGTTAGAGACTCATCCACAGATATATCTGATAAAAGTAATAAATTAGAAAGATGCAGCATTTTACCTTCTGGATCCTCTACACACCACAATGACAGTTTTAAAACAAAACAAGCCTTAGGTGAACAGATGTATGCCTTGATTGAAGAGCAATATCCAGATGATGCAGAAAAATTGACAGGAATTTTGCTAGAAATGGATATTCAAAGTTTAGAGCTCATGATCAAGGATTCAAACTTGTTAGAACAAAAACTGGGAGAAATCATATCACTTTTGGAAAATGACTCTGGACAAATCAAAAATAGCCAAACGGAGACAGCACAGAGACAATGTCAAGATAAGACTTCTATCGGAGAAGAACTTTATAGTTTGGTTAGTGAACTTGGCTGCGATCAAGCTGACAAAATCACAGGGATGCTTCTAGAAATGGATGCTTATGATTTAGAAGTGATCCTCATAGACCAAGAGGTGTTAAAAGAAAAAGTGAATCAGGCATTATGGGCACTCAATAATCAGAGTGACATAAGTGAAACTATATCATCCTCAACAGGACAGGAAGACAAAGCAGTTTATGGTGAACAACTGTATTACAAAATCTGTGAATGGTTCCCAGAGAATGCAGACAAAATCTCCGGTATGTTATTAGAAATGAATATTGCTACTTTAGAAATGTTGCTTAATGATTCTGCAGCACTACAAGAAAAAGCTGCATATGCTGCAAGCATCCTCACCACAACAAAAACTAACAGTGAAACACAACACAGTCTACCACCTTCTGAAAAATCTGAAGCAGAAACAATAAAAAGGTTAGAAGAGAAGCTCTATGATATAATAAATGATTGGTATCCAGGAAAAGCTCATAAATTGACAGGCATGTTGATGGATATTGACAGTGCAGCATTGGAGAATTTGGTTTTAAACAAGCAGATGTTGAAGGAAAAAGTTGAGGGAGCATTAGCTGTCCTACACAGAATGGAACAAACTAGCTCAAACAGGTGAGCAGGTCAAAAGTATTTACAAGTCACCTTTAAATATTTCAAGTAAAATAATTAAATAAGTTTGGAGTTCATTTCCTTGTGGGGACTCAGATTCCTTCTTTGTGTCACATTTGTAACAGATATGATTGACATCTCTGTCAAACTCTATTTTGCCATTTTTTATTTATAATAATTTACAATTATTCACCAAAGTGAAGAAAAAATATCTGCCAGTTTTAATGGTGAAAAATCGTTATAGTATATACCACACAAAAACCCAAAAATTGTCTCATTTGGCCACTCAGGGGTGAATTGTACTTTTAATCACCTCTAAACTAGCCAATCTGTACATGCGAAAAGCACAGTCAACATTAGTATATACTAACTGTAAATGTAAATATTTGAAACTTTTTTAAATTTCCAATTGATCTTTTGCCTTTGGAAAACATTTTCATTGATATATGAGAAAGCCTTTATTGTATCTTTCAATGTGCAAAAGTTCTTCTCTCAGAATGACAAGGCATATCCTGAATCCAAAACCTCACTTTGATAAGCTTTTGCAAGAGTTGTTATTTTTGTCTCTCTGAACGTGTTGTAAATTAGTCATGAAGGCCCATTTTGCAGGGAACCAACTAAACACTGCAGCCCAGGAGATTCCATGAAAGATGAGTTGGGAGAACAACTGTATGTGAAGATTGAGGAGTCACATTCTGAAAATGCTGATAAAATCACAGGAATGCTTTTGGAAATGAGTGTAGAAGACCTTCACAGACTTCTGAAAAATCCTCTGGAACTTCAAGAAAAAATAATGCTTGCAGAAAATGTCTTAAAAATAGACTGATATTACCATTAAAAAAATGTTTAATGATGTATTGGATGGTATTTTAAGGTGAAAGACAAGACAAAGGCATGAATGAAACCATCAGCTATTTTACCCATTGGTTTTCTGGAAAACAATAAAATTGAATGTTCTGTTAGATTCCACAACTTTCACTTTCATGATAACACGGTTTCCCAGGGTTCTTTACTAGTCAAGAAAAAAAAAATGTCGACAAAAAAAAAACTAGAATATCTTCATTAGAAAAGGAACTGGTTTTCCCCTTAAGAATCTTTAAGATTTTCATGCATCATTGTTTCTCTACTTTTGCATAAAGTCAATTTTTAAAATATTTTGATACAATTTTTTGCTGTTGCTATTATTTTGTCATTTCGGAACTCTGGGTTTATTAGCGTATTTTGAATCTGAAGAGGGTGAAATTGAATTAATCTTGCATATTTTAACTGAAACAAGAAGCCTAAAAACTTCAAAAAAGACAAACCCTAACTCCACTCATCGTTACTTGCAAGGGGGAAGTTTTCTTTAGAAAAATGCGCGCATTTGTTACTTATTGATCAGCAGTATTTCACAATGGGGCAGAGACGGGAGTCAAAGGTTCTGGAGATACTCACCCCTCCCCCCCCTCCCTTCTTTTCCTCTTCTCCTTTAAAGTACACTCTTGAACAATCAAGTTTTAAGATCGAACTAGACGGGAGTTTTCTTGCGATCAAGCAAACGACAGCGCTTAGAGAGGGCCTAAAGAAAAGTTTTTACTTCCTTAAATGTATCGCACGGCCCTCTTTTGTTTATATTTTCTCGTTTATCGTTTACAATAGTTCATGGAATCATAAACAAAGACGCGAAAAGAGAATGTAACCATGAAATTCAAACTTGACATTTTCGTTCTTTGTTTATTTACATGGATATGTGACTTGAAAACGAAACAATTCCAGCTATTAAACACTTTTTCTTGAGAGAAAACACCTCTTCATAGCACTCAGAGACAATGCGATTTTTCAATTAAAACAATTTGAAACTTAAAATGTCCATTCGAATTTTTTATTTTTATATTACTTATTTTCTCATTCAAAGAGCGTCCAAACTCATTCTCGAGGAATTGATACGAACGACATTCAATTCTTTCGCATTTTTAAAAAGACTATTTGTCATTTTCCTTCTAAGATGTACACAAGATCACCCCCAACCCCCTCTCGGCCACGATTCTTTTCCTCCTCCTTTCCAACGGGCGATCTCTTCATACCACGCCTTTAGTTCTGAAGACGTCATCTAGAGAATCCTCTCACGGGCGGTTCCTCGGCTGTTCCCGTCTTGTTTCTTATTTCGGTTAATGCGGATGCTGAAATCGTCTTCTGTTTTAGTTTGTATCTGTCTACCCAGGGGGAGGGTGAGCCATTTCTTAGCGAGTAAACCACCCTCCTCGAATCTCGTTTAGCGTTTTGCTGAGGCGATAATTGGGGCTCAGAATCATTCGGTAATGTGATCGGTTCCGATCGTAGACTGCTGTTTCGTGAAGTTGCTGTACGAGAGAGTACTGCTCCGTCATATGATGGAGGAGCGTTAGGATTAGGAACAAGTTCTTCCAGAGTTACGTCCTGATGAAGAGAATTTAGAAATTATTGAATTGAAATATTACAAAAGGTATAAAAAATCGCTAAAGCCTTAATTAAAGCAATCGATTTGCTTCCAATATGTGAATTACTCTCTGTTATTTGTGTTTGCCTGCTTTTGGTCTCCTTTGCATGCCACCCAGTCAGTCAGTCCGTGTATAATTCAATTAGTTGGACAGTTAAGGGAGCCATTTGCTTTGGTTGATGCGTCTCCCAATTACTGTAAGTTAGATCTGCTGTCAGTCATTCAATGCCTCTAAAACATATTTGAGTTTCAGCTGGGCATAGGTGCGCTTTGAGTTAAGTTAACCTTCTCTTAGTAAACAACTTAACTCTCTCACCGTGTTTACTCCTTGATTCAATAAAAATTTTCCTACATCATACGTACATCACCTTAAGCTTAGTTTCGTGATTTTAAGTACGTATGTAAAATAAAAAACAGTGCTAAGAGAATAACTTTCGTCGATTTAGATAAGATACAAGCTCCGCCAAATGAGTTAGTATTGAAGGGTTTTTCTTTCTTTTGCGAAAATGCCATGAAAGGCATTATGATAAGAAGGAGGCCATTAAACTCAAGATGAATCCCAGATATTAATCAACTTCTGTGATACTATGAAGTTACGCCTTGGCCGGCGGAAAACACGGAAAGACATCGTAAACACAATGATGGTTTAATGAACCGCATATATATACGTTTACCTTACCGTTCTTTCCACCTCAAGTTGTTTTATTTAGTTTTATTTTTCTGAGATTTAACCTAGTTCGCCATGATATTCACAAACAATACGCAAACATATTCTCAGTCGTCGAGAAAAACGGGAGAAAGAAGCATGCAAGCTTCTGTTACAAAAGTCATCTCTGGGGGTTTTAATTAACATGAATGACCCTCAAAAAAACATTCCGTTCGGTTCTAGTCTAAAACACCTGCACCACCATTTTGTTTATCTTTCTTTTTTATCGAAAAATTTTCATAACTGATTTTTTTTCCTCGATAGAGGTTTATTCGGAAACTTTGACAAAAGGGAGGCAAAGTAATAAATGGGGCGGCCGTTTCTTTTCTTTTTTCTTTTTTTCTTATCACTTTGATCTGTGTTTTGATGAATTCAAAAACAACTAGCCATAGCTGTCTTTAAATGCCATGTAAGCATAAGGATGGCTTTAAGGTAAAAAATACTGACCTTTCAAAAGTTTACAAGCTCGGAAGCATAAATTTGTGATATCAAATTCCTTTGAGTAAATGAAGAATGTTTATGCACTTTAAAGTGAAACACCTTTTCAACTATCTTTTATAATAAGTAAAAACTCCAAATATTGGTCTCATTCAGTTTTCACAACAGATCCTTACTAAGTTGAAATTTCAACTCCACGGACAGATGCTTAAGTTTTATTTTCGACAGAAGTAACTGTTTCCCTTCAAAAATGATCTGAATTTCAACACATAAAAAGGGTTAACGTAGATCCCTAGTTCCTTCACCCGTTAATTATCCAAACAATAATTCGCAATTGACAAAAAGTCTTAACAGAAGCCCATAGCTGAGAACCTTCCCCTGCAGAGACTTTTCCCTTCCACGGACAACACGCAATCATTTCGGTCATGGACCAATGACTTTTTTGCTATAGTCTTATATGGTGTAAAACCTGCGAACTGAGTTGGTTAACGGCAACATTTAAACTATCCGTAATTTAGCCTCGTTAATCGGTCAATACTTTCAAAATGTTGGCAACAAGAAGATTTTTTCAGGTCATTAAAGGGTTTGAAACTGGTTCTTGCACTCAGAAATAACATAAGGTGTCCCATGGCAACTTTGATTAGCGAGTTACATCAAACAGATGTAACGTTTTTTTACGTACAAAAACGTAACTTGCCGAAAAAAGGGAAAAATTGAAACTAACTCACTTGTCCTTCCTTGTAAGCGTTTGGCAAAGCCATTGATGTAGACCTGACCTTTGACGGGAAGAAGCCATTAAAGATGCGTTTGGGTTTGTGCATGGGACGAATTTCCTGGAACGATTTCAACGTGTTAAAATCTATGATCTTGGGACAGCTAAATTGTCTTTTGTTCCTTGTTCCTAGTATTTTGGATTCAGTTAGGCGGTTGTTACCGATTCGTGTTTGTCTACCGTCTAGAACCACTCCGGACTTAGTTGTTACGTTATTAACGACGCTTGCGATTGTTGGACAAAATCGTCTCTTGTCGCCGACAAATATCTTGTCCTCTAGGCTTGGGAAAACGATTATTTTCAAAGAAGTCACCGGCTCCATGTCTCAGGGATGAACTATTCGAAGAAAACTCCGTGGAAATAGTTCTTCCTTAGAAACATGGACTCCCACATAGCTTAACAACAACAGTGTCTCTTTAGGAAGAGAGGTGATTAAGTGATTCACTCTAGCCACTTGACATAAACTCTGTTATGCAAAAGACTTATTGAAGAAGGATTTAGTCAAGCCGGCTGTCTTCCCGTAATGAGAAAGCTAGAAGCCAATTAAAACCCAACAAGATTACTCCCATGTGGACTAAATTATTATCTTAAGGGTTTGACGTAAAGGTTATTATTGAAAAGAAACAAATAAATGCTGCTTTTTCATTAAGTGAAACGAAAAAGCTTCTTTCAGTTGAGCCGTAATAAATTATTTTCACACGCTCCACAAACTTCAAAATGCAAGGTTTCCTTGTGTATTTTGCTGCGCGTTACTCTCTCTGGCTTGAGCTCAAGATAAATAAGTAACATTTGCTAGTACACGCGAACAAATAGTATGATAATGATAGCTAAATGATTCCACTTCGCTTTTGTTGGCTAGGATTAGCGAATTAGATGATCATTGAAATTTATGCAGATATTTTCTTTAGCCGTGCCGACTTTTGGTTTCTAAGTGGCTTGTTTTCCTAGTCAAGCTCGATTTTTACGGAACTAAATCGCTGAAAGAAAGAGTAAACCCATAAAAATTGCGTCTTCAAGTGTGCTAAGTTTTACCATTAAGCTAAAAGGTCTCGTTGGCTGCAGTTCTTGGTTCATGTAAAATTTCATTAGAATTTCACGTTGTTCGAACTGTAAACAAAGCTTAAGGCTTGTTACGAGGGTTATAATGCGCAAATAGAGAAGTCTATTAATTACACGTGATATTGCACTGAGAAAACTGAGAACCCTCTCACAAAAAGTAAAGTTACTGAAACGACAATGCCACTGATGATCTGTTTTCAAACAGTCAAAGGATGATTACAGTTCACTGCCTTAAGGGGCACAGATTTAGTTATCCTTTTCTTTTAGGTCTGGTGTGTTAGTTGTCAAACTTCATTTTTCGTAATTTTGAACGAAATAAAAACCAGCGCGTTCACTATACTTACAAATTTTCAGCTCGTCTCATCGCTCACAACCTGTATGCCTGTTAAATTGCTGTCAAGACTTTCTTGTGGACAAACATCAGGTATTAAAACTGAACGAGAGTAAAATCTTCACTACGTAATCGTGGGCTTATAAAATCGTGCGTCTAACTCGTAAAAACCAAGTGAAAAAGCCGAACATGACGTGATGAGTACAGAATCATGAACTGACTAAGCAACACAAAAAAATCAACAAAAAAAAGCGCTTATTGACTAACTGCCTAATTAATGGCAGTTTACAGCCTCGGCATTGACTCCACAAGGCTTTGAAAGCGTCGGCTCAGCTTTTTAGCCTCGAGGCCTGAATCAAACGGAAACACTTTTGACCCACTTTTGTAGTCAAGAGAGGTCAAATGGGAACAGTGACAACTTCAACGTCTACTTATAAAGGGAAATAATTCACGCCTAAAAGTTATACGTCCATGGAACGCCCAGTCGCGTCCATGAGAAAACGTGCAAGGCAATAATTAGTACTGTGGACTAATTGCCGTTTCAGGGATAAAGAATCTATTGTGATTTAATGTCAGTAAAATCTGGTCTTGAAACTGACGGAGAGCGAGAGAGATCATGTTTTTCGATCAAAGTTTACCCGAGTTTTTGTACTGCCGAAAGTTGTCTTTTTTTTTTTTTTGTTCTTTCCACTTCAATTATTTGCCCCGGGAAGGAAGTCCCAAATATAAATGAAGAGGTTGAACACCGCACCTACATCGGCAGTTATAATCACCGATCTTGTTCCGCTTCTGTTAATTTAAACTAAAATGACTACCTTTGGAGCTCCCCTAATTGCCTCTTGGTTGTATGGTGAAAATTGATGGAGACACTCAGTTGAAACCTTTCAGGGGTAGCTTTAAACATTTTAGATGATAACTGCTGTTTACGACTATTAAAAAGAAGAAGTAAGTAACTAACTGGACTGACGAGAATTTCAGAATAAAAAGGGCTAGAATAAAAAAGAATATATATAAAAAATACCAAGAAGATTAACGCTGGTTACAAACAAGGTACACGAAATTCTGTAAGATGCACAAGCTCCTTCAACAAGTTCATTTTATTTTGAAGACGCTCAGCCGTACAACTTGGGAAGTCTCTCACATCTTTTTTTTATAAAGGCAAACGACTACTTAAACTAAAGATCAACACCTTTTTCTGACGGCTTTCTGTATCTACAGTTTAAGAGTTTTCAAGAAAGCTGCTTTCGTGATTATTAAGTGTCTAATGACGAAATGCAATCAACTTCTTTTAAATAACTGTTACAGCATAGCATAGACTATAAACAATAAAATGTTAGACAAAAATTTCTGATGCGAAAGCCACTTTGGCCAAACTGGCTGAACTAGAGACAAGGTATTTGAGGTATTGGCTGGAAAACAGCGTTAAAATTTTCCAGAAACATGAGATTACATAAATGATTTTGATCTGGGGAAAAACAAAAGACAAATGACTAATTAGTAGAGATGCGAGCACAAACTAAGTCAAACAGGAGTAAAAGGACTCTCAAATCATGATTGCTTGTTTTCTTAATTTATACTTACAAAGTTTAATCCAGTCCATGATGCATGTACTATTTTTTTAGTCTTCTGGTCTGTGTGGTGGGTGGCCACAAGGCTGAACCATTTTCTTAAACAAAAATTGCATGATAATTTTGGCAAACTGGCAAATAATAAAATAATATTTATCTAACATCTGAACAAAAGAATTTTAAGCTTAAGAGCAGTAGAGTCAATACAGTGAGATTGTGATGTCATTAACATAAGTCATGGTACTGAAGATGTTATAATTACAGATCAAACTAAAATTTTTTGTTACAAATGAAAACCTTCTGATTCAAAATTTGGAAGCTGCACTATTGGGCTAGCCTACAGCATAAATGTATTTTAGAGAGAATGATCATTATCTCTCTAAAAGACATTTGCCTGCCATCTTGCATATTTAAGCAGAACACTGTTGGAAAGAGAAATAAATTTCCTCATCCATTACAAACATCCTGCATTGGATTAAGATTTGAATGACATAATAGTGTACCAAATACTTTAAATCCCAAGATCTCATTAGCAATTCTCCTTACAGTCTGCCAAATGATTCTCATTATGTTAGCTCGGGGGAATTTGGTATCTGATCAATAAGTTATCCCAAAATTGGTACTTTCTTTATTCTCATCACTTGTCTGCATGATATTGTATAGATATAGTAAGGAGAAATTCTGTCTTGGTCACTCATGGGAGTTAAAGGGTTAACAGAGACACTTACCTCCAGAAGGTTGAATCTAGTTCTAGCTCTTGTTTCATTCTCAACCAGGGCAAAGTAATCCAGTAGATTATAATGGCCAATATATGAGGCTGCACTATCTCTGTGCTGGTTCACAAGCCACTCACTAACAAAATTGAAATGAAAAAACACAACATTAAAACACACACACACAAACAAGAAGAATACTGCATCTCCATTATTGGGATGAGACGCCAGGAAATAGATTTTAAATCTCAGTTCTGCATCTACCACATATTGACAACAATACTCAAGGTGGTTCCTCAGAAAGAAGTATCAAACAGTTTCTTTTAAACTTTCCTTAAATGTTCCTTACCAATGTTTGTTTGGAAGAATACTATAAAAAAGATAGGTCACCATGCCTGTTTAAGAGATATAATGGGCCCATCTTATCCCACTTATGCCTGTACTGGCACTAGTCACAAGCATAATTTCATTGGTTCAATGTACATTTTTAGGTAGCTGGAAGCAGGAGTTTTTAAAGTAACAATTAAAAAACTTAATAGGTAGAAAGTCTCAAGCGGATGGAACAATTTGATGTATGATTTGTGGAAAATCATGCAATTTTAAAAAAAACATGGACTCAAAAAGTTCCTTGAGTCACTGCTTCATGAACACTTATAGCCACGTCTTTTTCCCTTAGATCAATTTTTTTTATTTCTCCACTTTAAAAGGGATAGTTTAAATGCACCATAATTATGCAATAAATAATATAGGTCACCATGCTTGTTCAAGAGCTAAAGACCATCGTACTTCTTTACCTGGTACATTGATTGAAAAACAATACTGTGTTCTCAGAATGTGTGCATGCTTATTCACCTGATTACATGATTTTTATGTTCAATGCAGGATGCCTAGTGCAATACTGAGGGATAACCTTAACTGATCAAAACAACCTTAAGCAATTTTTTCTCAACAGTAGGAAACCATTAAATAAATGAAAATACTTACAATTTAGTTGTGTCTGAATGACCAGTGCCGACATACTTTGATTGTACTGAAACAAGGGAGAAAGTTGGTAAAATATTTATAGAACAAAATTAAACAACAAGCTAGTTGTTGCAACCGTATCATCTAACACTAAGGTCTTTCCTTGCCAGCTTTACTATCTAAAGGAATACACCAGGCATACCAACAGCAGAATGATTGACCTTTTCTGTTGAAACCAGAGACTGAAACCACAGGCAGACCATACTACATGTTCATGGTTAATAATTGTTGACATGAGATGAACAAAATCTATAAGGGTTATGATTAAAGCACTGAAAATTGCATATCTAAATTATGTCTTGGTCTGAAAATCACAATAAATTTGAATGAAATGTTAATCAATGCACTCACAGTATGTTTTTTCACCTTAATGAACCACTTGAATAGTCTCTTCACAAAATTACCTTTGGCTGGAGGCTGTTCACAGAAGAAAAGGAGACAAGGCTTGCAACTTGGTGGCCGGCTGCTGCTACTTCCTCCACTAAGACTAGAATTAACCTTAAACTACTACTTCAGTTTGAAGTGCAGGAAGTCGCGGCTGCCGGCCACCAAGTTGCGGAGCCTTATTCATAACCCTCATAGATTTTGTTCGTCCCATGTCAACAATTATTAGCCACGAACATATAGTGTGGTCTGCCGGAGCTGAAACTTTTTAATGATGGATATGTACGTAACAAAATGAATGTCAAGTTCTAGACTCTGATGTTAATGATCAAATAAAGCCGGTTTTAGTGCAGTACAACTGGTTATGATTAACAATTTTTTTAATAATAAGCATACTTACAATGTTCAAGTTGGCTGTGAATGTTGTATCTGTCTGTCTGCAAGTTAAAATGACAAAAAATCTTACATCAAATCGCCAATTTATTATTTGGCAAGTTACATCTCTAGTTGATGGGCTACCTTTCCTTGATTATTACAAAACCGATCTCATTTTCGAACGTTTTGAACTCTAAAAAAGAATTTAACTCACCATTCTCGTGCGTCTTTCAGATCACCTACGATGGCGTCGGTAGCACGTAAGTGTAATTACCTCAGCGGTTCTTTTAGTTAACGCATGCCTATTGCGCGCTAAATTCAAAATGGCGGTTCGGGTGGAGGAGCTCTCGAACACCGAGCCGCAAATTGATGGCATCAGCGGCGAGAAATATCGAGAGATAGGGGATCAGGCAGTGTGGTCGTTATCATCATGTAAACCTGGCTTCGGAGTAGAGCAGCTTCGTGATGGAAACCTAGAAACGTACTGGCAATCTGATGGACCACAACCGCATTTGGTGAGCATTCAATTCCGGCGGAAAACAGCGATTCAAAACATTTGCTTGTACGCCGATTACAAGGCAGATGAAAGCTACACACCGAGTAAAATATCCGTTCGTGCTGGGAATCACTTTCACGACCTACACCAGATAGAACTGATAGAGCTCGAGGAACCAAGCGGATGGCTGACAGTGTCTTTGTCGGATGGGGACAAGCCTTTGAAAACGTACATGTTGCAAATAGCGGTTTTATCCAATCATCAAAACGGAAGGGACACTCACATGAGGCAGATTAAGATTCACGCGCCTTTAACAGATACTGGGGCTTACAAAATGCCCACTTTTACTTCTGTGGAGTGTGCTATGTACAGCACAATCAAATGATGCAGCTTGTTAAATGATTATCAAATATTGACTGCTTTTTGGTTAACAAGTTACACCGTTTGCAAGAAGATAGTGAGAGATAGGGGAAGGGTACATGTAGATTACTGTCCTTGGTTGTTCAAAGGTTGGATAAATCTCTATCAGCTGGATAATGCTATACATTTTGCTATCACTTATCTGCAGGGTAGCGATTTATCAGTTGGATAGCGTTATTCGCTCTTTATACAACCGGGCCCAGGTGTATTGTGCCAACTGGAGTAGTTCAATTTGGCTTGTTAAGAGTGGCTGCCGAGTTTGTTGTTGAAGTTAGTATAATTCACGTCATGATCCATCAGATATTTTTTGCTGAGCAGGATTGGTCTAAATGCATCACATGATTGAATATTCCTCTTCTAAAACTGTGATATGTCTTTGTTTAAAATTCAATTCAAGATGAGAGAGCATATAAGGAATGTTAAAGAAGAAGGGAAATACTTTTTTGTTCATAAAGTCATACCAGAGAACACTCGAAAGAAAACATCCCATGCAGCACACAGCAAGCTGTTCATAAACATTTTGTCACATGCATTGCTAAACATTTGAGGGATAATAAACACCTCTAAGTAGCCTCTATTTTGTGTGAAAATATGCTTTTGTTTTAGTCCTTGGACATTATCTGTTCCTAAAGGCAGAGAGTTTTCCTTGAGCTTTGCTCTTGGAAAACTGTTTGAATCTTGGAACAGATAATGTTAATAGACAAATATCAGTGCATATTTTCACACCAAATGGAGGCTATTGCTTATTTATTGACATAGGGGATGGGAAAGGGGTAACATCCTAAGCTCAAGTATGGGGTATCCCTTGGTTGCTGCTGGGTGAAGGTGATATCCTTATCATGTTATTCAGGGATTTCAAAACAAGCCAGAGACTGCTGGAGTTCTGCCGGCTATTTGATAACATGTTGCTAGTTACTCTGTTCAAAATAATTACCTGTTGGCTCTTAATGAACTTTACACAATCACTTACTTTTGCCGAGTCTGATGCTTACTTTAAAACATTTTCAAACCCCTGGTTATTGGTTGGGATAATGTGAATGAGTCCCTGGATTTGTTAGTTCCTGTGATACACCCAGATTGAAGAGATCTTTGATCAGTAATTTTGATCCAGACTATCTCAAGCATGGCATATTCTGTGTGTTTTGTAAATATTTAATATACTATGCCAATAAAAAGTTTATTTTTGTATTTTATATAACTATTTACAAGATATACAAATTCCCTTTGTTATCCCACAATTAAAATAGGTAGTGTATTAAAGAAATAGATTTAAAATGCTTTAAAACTTGGCAATACTATTACTACTTATACAATGATAAAAGCTATCGTGTGCTTGATGAATTAACTTCTACTTGCTATCTTTCTCAGGCTGCTCCTCCTGTGCCATGTTTTTGTTCTTACCAATTAAATGTCATCTTTGATCTATTACCAAACAGCCGTATGACAACATGGAATCTATTTGTTAACCATGATCAAAATTTTGGCAACTATCATGTATTATATAATAAGCTCAGTTATGTACGCATTCTGATTGGTTCTCACTTATGGTCTATTGGAGGACAGACGTATAGATGATGTCATCATTAAACCTTTTTTTAATTATTTATTATATAAAACAAATAGATTCCAAGTTGTCATGCGTCTGTTCCATAATAGATCACAGATGACATCAAAATGTGGTAAGAACATCAGTGACAGACTCAGCTGCACCTCGTGTGCCACTTTTTTTTCTTACCACATTTTGATGTCATCTGTGATCTATTACTGAACAGACGCGTGGCAACTTGGAATCTATTTGTTAACTAGATCTTATCCTTACTTTTCTGGATCATTGCTCTTTTTCAGGGGATTTCTTTCATCATTTTACATCCTGCAGGCACAGTTCTCTAATTCTTTTGGGTAATGTTGTCTGAGATACTCTCTAGATCTAATATCTGCCTGGAAATATGAAAAATTGGACTTAAGACTATGTAAAACAATTAAAAGGGCACTTGTATCTGTGTTTTTGTTCCTTTCATGCTAGTATTGGTTTCATTTTCAGTAACTGGTGTGTGTTCAGCTTAAATATTCTTAAAAATTATGATTATGAACTAATTGACTGGGTTGGTCAGGTTGAACAGGAAAAGATTTTGGTTTCAATCATGACAGAGGAGCTTGTCTATACATCATGACAGAGAGCCAGATATTTTCCCCTGCAGCCCAACCAAACTCAGTCATCAGGTACATTGTTATAATTTTTCAGTAGCCTCTGTTTTGTTTCTTACTTGTCTTATTGGTTCAGGTATTCTGAACCGACAGGTGGCATGTACAAGACTCACTGCTGTCTCCAGTCCTATCTTATGGCCCACAGATATGTAGATAGGATTATGAGATTGTTGGGTACTTCTCAATGCCTGAGTAAAAAACAAAAATAATTGTGATGTTCTTATAACAGGAGGAATAGTAAAGAGATTTAGTGCAATGTTTGAAGAAATTGCCAGTATTTACTTTTTTGTAACCAAATCAGTTAAGACTGATAGGATTCAAGTTCACCTGCCAGATGTTGACATACTGTCGGTTCACTTCAGAAGCTGCCTTGCTTTTTTAGTCTCCCAGAAAAATCAATTTTTCTACAGTATACAAGAGTTCTCCTAATTGTTTGTGCATTAGGTGGAAAAAACACTGTGAAGTCTCACTTCTGGGCAGAGGCAAGAGGAAAGAGGAATTGAAACTAAAATAGTTTATGCAACCTTCTCATTCTTTCCCTTAACATTTAGTTATAGTTTGGCAATTTGACCAATCCTACCTTTCCCCAAATTGTGCCAAAGTCACCTATCAGTGAGAAACTGTCTCCATTAGATTTTAGACAGTTTTTGATCTGTCAAGACAGGAATGTAGAAAAATTGTTTTTACTACATACTTCAAAGAGTTAGTTGATCATTCAAATGACATTCCCCTCCCCCCTCCTACCAGAGAGGGTTACTGGTCTGCATTAACTTTCCCACTCCTGGAGATTTCAGTTTCATATTGGCTTCAATTTTTTTTACAAATGATGGCTCCTGGCTTCAAACTCTTTATCTTAGTTTACAGATTCCACAGCATTTCTTGAGCCAGGGTTGGTATGGACATTATCTAGTACTACTTTTCTCTTGAAAATTACTTAATTGTGAGGAAATGTTCTTATCCTTAAAATACCTGATCTGCATGTTTGGAGTCTTTCTTTATCCCATCCACATGGAAAAGGGTCTTGGCCACTCCTACAGTAGGGATATCTGTCAGCACTCCAAGGTGACAAGCAATTCCAAAACCTGCCAGTAATAAGATCGAGTATTAGAGCAATATATTTTGTCCTACAAGTGAAAAAAAATTATGTTTCTTCCCCAGTAACTGGTCTTCCAGTTAGTTAAAGGGGAAAAAATTACATCATCATTATCAGTTGACTTTGTTCAGCTCCAAGAAACCCAGTAAATGATTAAATTTGGTAAATATCCTAATTGCGATAAACTTCATTTTAATGATAAACTGATAAACATACCTCTGGGGTGCAACATTCCATTCCCGTCAACTAAAATGATCTAAAATAGCAACAAGAACAACAATGACAATATATGGAAATAACATGAACTCAGCTGAGCAAGACTCATTCTCTTTCTAATCAAATTAGTTTAATATTAATGTCAAATACCATAATTAATTCTGATTTCATTTTGATCAGTGAAATGGTCTGTATAGCTTTTAGTAGATGAATTACTGTCTCAAAAATCTTGTTCACCTGTGGAAGTAGATGTGGTTTAACTTCTTTTAGCTTGGAAACTGCTTCAACAAGGAACCCAACTTCTCTGAAAGCCAGGAATTCTGGTATGTAAGGTAATTTCAGATGTACAAGGGTTAAATCCTCATACAAAACCTGTATTTAAAGAAGTATTCACAAGATTTAACACATAATAAAATAAATCCTTAACAGCACTCCAGAATGTTTACAGTTTTGATTAACCTTTTACAGTATCTAACAGTATTCATGTTAACTGCACCTTACCTCAGGTTACTAGGGCAGTGTTGAATAAACTTCTATGTTCACAAAGTTTAAGGTTACAAATAAGAGTGACGAGAAATAATTTTTTTGGAGAAGATTAATTTTCCAGGAGGAATGTGTGGGTATAGTAGCTCACTAATTATGAAGGCTCCATACCAGTGATTCAAAAGCTATACGTGATTATTGTAAAATATATTTTCTAAGCCTCTGGAAGTCAGCTTGACTCTTTGTGAGCAGTTGTGATGTTAATATGTATTCAGGTTTCAGCGAGGGGTTGTGCAGCTAATTTCAGGCCAAACAAATATAAATTACCATTTCACCCTTTAACTCCCAGAAGGGATTAACATGAAACTTCTCCCCATAATATCAATACATTACCCAACAAACAGGTAATAAGAATACTCAAACTTATCAGGTAGAAATTGTTATCTTGATCTAACACTGAATTCTCTTGATTGATTTACAAGGAAATGTGAAGCAGCTAGAGGGGAGAATTAACAATCAGATCTTAGGAGTTAGAGAGTTAAACTGAAACACACCTCAAGTTCAGGGAAGGAAAGTACCACCAAGCAAGCGCAGGCGTGATCTGGATCATCTTTGACAAATGATATGTCAACTCCTCCGATTAGACTTAAGTTACTAAATGGATTACTCGTGGATTCACCCCAAATGATGCAGTCCTTGCATACAAGCTTCTTCTTTAATTCAATTTGTTCCCTAAAAATGCAGAATCATGTTTCCGAATCAGCTATAAACATCAAAAAAGTAATCTAAACATTTGTTAGACAAAATTCATAATCAATCATAAGTAGTCACCATTTAACGAACCTTTTCCACTTTTCGACGATTGCATCTTCCACCAGCGATTCTCGATCGTGTCCTTCGGCCATTTTGGTCTTTTTTCCTCTCGAAAAGGACTTGCTAACAATTTATTTTCATTGTGCAAAATTATCCTTTCCTCTTTTTTTTACAAGGACAAATTCATCCGTGCTTCCAGTAAAAAAAACGTCGGAGAAAAGCCGAACGATGACAAGATTTGGGCAAAATTGCATCAGAGTGTAAGTTTCACCATTTGTAAATTTCGCGGGATAGGTACAATTCAGGGCAGAAACACTTATGAAAGCGAGGCTCTCCCTATTATTTCCATGGAAACAAAGGGTAAAGAGCTAGCCTACCTCCATCTTTGTTTGGGTTGATAAAAATCGTACACATTTTAGCATTTTTGTAGAGTATTTAAGAACTTATACCATGGCAGAAAATCAGGAAGGTGGTACAGCACAAGAAAGTGGAGGATATGATTATAAACGGCTGCATAGTTACCCTTTGATTCGGGTGAGTTGAAGGGGAATTGAATCGCACAGTCAGTATGGTGGTACAACTGTTGTAGTAGTAATGGTGAACGTTTTTCGTTTGAATCGCTCGGTTACACGAGGCCTTGATATTTCCCTTCATACAATTTTTTCAGTATTCGGATATGAATGATGAAATGCGGACTGAAGCGATGGAGCTCTGTGTAACAGCTTGTGAAAAGTTTTCAACGAATAACGAGGTAAATAAATTTTGTTTACTTCAAATGTTTATAAATTTAATCATGATCGTGGCCGCTTGGATACCTAATAAGTTCAGGTGGGAGTATTCAACTTGCTTCTTGGTATCCTTAGCTCATTTTAGATGAACTGCATGACCGGAATTTTCATAATCCAATTTTATTTCCATGCTAAACACTAATTTCCTACTTAAGACCTCCTTGTCTTCCTTTGGGAGCTGAGGTGAACTTCTGATTGGGCTGAATAAACACCTTTGTCTTTTACTTTTTGAAGCCAAACAGTTGAAATGGAATGAATTACGTAAATCTAATCAATATTTTGCTGGCAAGACTCTATTATTTTCAAAATAAATTTCACATTCTCACAGCCCTTCTTCCAAGTAGACAATGAACTAGTCACATCCCACCTCCACAGAGTAGCTCAAGGGGTGGCCTACTGGTAACGTTTGCTGTGCTGAACTCTGAGTTGAGATGTCCAGTGTTTGAGACCTAGCTGGTCAACGTGTTGTATTCTTGGGCAGAAAACTTAACCCTTTAACCCTATGAGTGACCAAGATAGAATTTCTCCTTACTATATCTATAAAATATCATGCACACAAGTGATGAGAATAAAGAAAAATGTCAATTATTGGATTACAAATTGATCTGATATCAATTTCTCCAAACTAACATAATAGGAATTGTTCGGCAGACAGTAAGGAGAATTATAAATATGATCTTGGGAGTTAAAGGGTTAACTCCCACAGTGCCTCTCCTCACTCAGGAGTTTTAATAGGTAGTGGCAAAGTTTCAGGGAAGCCTGATGAAATGCTGGGGATATCTTGCAATGGATTGGCATCTCATCTAGGGCAGAGTAGTAACACTCTTAATCACTTCATGCTAAGGGAACTGATATGAGTTCTGGCTAGAATAGCCACTCAGCTTGAGAACAGACACAGAGTAGCTAAATGCAAAAGGAAAGCTGTGTTCAATCCTATTGTATTTCAGGCTGCAGCAAAAATGATCAAAGAAAGTTTAGACAAGAAGTTTGGTTCTTCCTGGCATGCTGTAGTGGGTGAAGGTTATGGTTTTGAGCTCACACATGAAGTCAAAAATCTTCTCTACATGTATTTTGGAGGAACTGTGGCAGTTTGTGTTTGGAAATGCTCCTGAAGAGACAGCAAGAACAATTGCATCTACTGTAGACAGACTGAATTTAGTTGATGCAAAGTGTAGCATCTGGCATTTTGTTAAAAAAAGATGCTCTACCTGAGAGGAGTTGTGGTCATACCATATTCTTTTAATGATATTGTTGTCCAATTTGTACATATGCATTAAAATGTCATTATTCTGAAACCAATAATCATCATTTTAACTGACTTCCAAAATAATAAATGGTTGGCCTCTACGTTAATTTTCCTGTATGGTAGAGTGCATTTCAATATAAATTGAATGCAAATGAAAATCAGCATACACCATAATATTTCTCTATATTCTGATTGGTAGTTGAGAATACTTTTGTTTTGATTTTTCAACACTCAATTGGAAAAAAAATTCCCTGTCCTTTCATCTTTAGTCTCACAACTTAGACGACACCTGAAGAAGATATGAAAAGTGTTATTGAATTTAAAAGTGACTGTGGAGGGGGAGTACATGTGTAGTGTTGCATATTTTGTCCCATTAGGGTTCAAACTGGCATTAACTTTGAAGAAAACTACCTTAAGTGATAACTAAAAATAAATGCCAGATTAGAAAAGCAATACATTTACTGGTATGGGACACTGTGGCTTCAGTCAATTAGATGCAATGATGAAAAAAGGAAAGTTGATAACCAGAATTCAGAATTAGACATCTGATGATGATTACATTTATGATAAGGACCACAGCACAAGTAAATTAACAAAAGATCCAGCTTTTTTATTTGTTCTTCCTCTACACTATAAAATGTGATTTGCAATGTTTTAATAGCACTCTAAACTTTGTTGTTACATCAAATTCAAGATTTTATAACATTACATTACATAATTTTTGTGTATAATGATCTCTTTTCTTTAAAAGTTTTCGCTCTACTCAGACTACCTTGCTCTGGCTTTAGTCAAAATAGAATATTAAATATTATTATTTTCATTCAACTCACTATCTCTTTTCTGATTGGCTGAAGTGTACAGTGAATTTTAAAATCAGCAACTGGGATGTCATCTAGCTGCAGATTATCCAATACAAAGGTCATGGGTAATCATGTCATGTATGGCTGCAGTGCATGATTTCTAAGGCTAATCATGTCAAGTTTACACGCTTTGTGTTGCGTGCTGATTTGTAAATTTTTACATGTGAAGAAATAAATTATCAGTTCCATTTCCTGTTGTGATCATTTTTTTTTTCATTCATTGTAAGATGAAACAATTATTAGATTCAGTTTTATTGATATCCAGAATAATCAAGGTCTCAGCAAGGGTTATCAGCCTCAGCCTTTGGCTGATAACCCCTATTTTGACTTTGCCTATTCTGGATATCGCAAAAACCTCATCCAATAATTTTTTATTATACTTAATATCCAACATAAATTATATACACATATTAGTGTTAACATTGACCTATGAAATGGGCAACAAATTAACACAAAAATCTTAATATTAATTCAATTTAGACAATTTGGTATAATTCTTTGTACTATAAACCAAAACAAAACAATCACAAAAATAATCTCCATTAAGAAACAATTTTGGAAAGATTGATTGAGATGAATGAGGTATGTAATATTATGTTCATGCAATTTCCTTTTATTAACCCATTCTGTGAGAAATACATTTTCCACACCCTCACAGTAGAATCTTCTTTTCTCTAAATTCTTGGGTTCTTCACTCACAGGGAAAATACTCCAATTCACTGAAAAGATTATAGCGTGTAAAGTTTTCTACCAGCAGCATGGTCACAGAGAGGTACACATTCTGCACCACATGAAGTTCTGTTCCCACACCAGGGAAAACAAGAAGGTCTTTCAAACAATCGTAGAGAGGACAAACTTATGTCATCACTGTCTCTAAAATCAAAGTTTGCCTTTTCTATCTTTTCTCTTTTCCTATAATACAATTTTCGTACAACAATAATTACAATAACACCTATCAAAAGGCATATGACAAAGATAGCAATGATAGCTCCTTTTGCTGCCTTGTTTTTGCTCCTCTTTTGGGCTGGTTTTATAGAATGAAGACTTTCTAGAAAAACAAAGAAAAGGCATCCATTTTGTCAGTCAAATATCCAAGCAGTGAGCAATATTAACATATGAAATTTCATGGTTCTCTGTTTCTGGAGAAGTATGCTCCTGGGTTTAGATGTTCAATGCCTTGATTAAAAATCACAAATTATGTTAGGTTTCAGTTTCAATTACTGCAAATATATGGAAAATCATATACACGTGAACTGTGCTTGAAGAAATGAATGAAAGGGATCCTCGCAGTTATGAGTACTACTCAACTAGTACTGAAAATAAAGCCTGAAAAAAATTCTGCGGGGATCGCAGGATCGAGGATTGAGGATCACATTCATGATTTCAGTTTCAATGACAAATTTTGCCATGTGAACTAAATCTTTCATTGGAGGACACCAAATTGTCTGAGAAACTGCCTGTTCAGAAGACAATTCAACATCAACAGATTGAACTATTCGGAAAGAAAAGGAAACTGATTTTTTTGTTTTCTTAATGATAAAGTGACCTTTATGAATCAGAGAACTGTTTAAATAAATACTACATGTGTCAGCTTCCCCTATGACATGGTTTCTAATATTAAGGTATGCACTGCTTTACAAATAAATAGGAAAAAATATCTTACCAGGGATTTGTAGTATAAGAGATGTGTTAGTATTACTGACACCATTCATCACTCCAACAATGACACAGAAGTTTCCAGAATTGCGGAATGTATGATTCACAATCAAATAGCAGGAATTATTATGTTCCAGAGAGGGACTGCAGTCGCTTCCCTGGATTTTGCTGCAATGTCTTGAAACACACCAACGAAAAGACACTGGCAGGCTATTTGGGAAAGAAAAGAGGCAATTAAAAGATCAGTTTGCTGCCAACTCTACCTAAAATATCAATATCATTAACCATATCAGTAGGAGACACAGTCTGTTGCAAGAAACATTTATACATGCTGACCAAAGGATGCGCTTTTGTGCAGTTTTCCAAACAACAAACTTTCACATGGAAGTCTGGGCAAGAACTAGAAGCTCAAAAGGTTAATTGACCCTTTAACTCCCAGAAGTAATTCGCATGTAACTTCTCCCTACAATATTCATCCACCCTCCTGCAAACCAGTAATGAGAGTTCTCAAATGTATCGGGTAAAAGTTGTTATCTTGATCAAATACCTAATTCTTGCAACTAATTTAAAAGGAAAGATGTATCAGCTAGAGGGGAGAATTAACAATCAGATCCTGGGAGTTAAAGGGTTAAACCTCTGACCCCTTAAGGTGAGTAGTGTCTAAATTCTCCTGACAGTATTTACTTGAACCAAATGTAAAAGTGATACACATAAAGGAAATGATCACCTATTTGGGAAATTCTTGATTGTTAAACAAATTCTCCTTGTCAGCACCTTAAGAAATGTATAGGAGATAGTATGGAGAATATGGATACTGATGTTGGGGTGTAAAGGGTTAAGGGTTCAAACTGATAACCCTTTGCATGCTGGTCAGGAACATTTTTAGGAATGACATAAGTTTACATTTGCAGAGCACTGGGTAGTAAGGACTTTAGGTCAGGGCCCAGTTATATAGAGGGTGGATAACGCTGTCCAACAGATAAGTCACCATTCAGTGGATAAGTGATGGCAAAACTTACTGTGTTCTTGAACAGATAGAGATTTAGTCAGTGGATAGCTTTGTACAACCTTCAAACAACCACGGCCAATACTTTATAATTATATAGAGAATAATACATGGGTGCATGTAGATATGGAATTTTTCTTTGAGTGTTTAACTTGATAGCTCACGAGTGAGCGCAGTGAATAAGTGAGATGTCAAGTTGAACACAAGAAGAAAAATTCCATATCTAAAAGCAACCATGTATTATTTTGTTTATCATATAAACACAATAAACTCTTAGGATGGAAAAATGCGTTGAATCACAATTACAAAAACAACAATGGTCATAATTTTCAACTTAAAAAATCTCATTTATTGACTTTGTCCTCACCAACAGAAGAAGTCTTTGAGGTAAACAGCCAAAATCAGCCAGTGGCAAATCTTCAAGTTGTTGATTTTCATTCTCAGCCACGAGAAATGCCAACACCAAAGCCATTGAATACATAACTTTCAGTTTTTCTTTTTGTATATTGGTTTTTCCCCTTCTAGAAAAGTTTGAACCTCATTGTCTGTCAGTGATACGGATTTTTCAGTGTTTTAGCCACCACAATCAGAGAACATTCCGACAAACTACCTTTTATTGAGAATCATGAAGGCTTTGCTGATCATTCATCAAACTGACTGAGTGGCACCAAAGGTGAGTGATGTGTCAGCAGCTAATTAGCTATATCAACACACGTGAAAAATATGATATTTTTTCATGCATGTTGTTACCACTTTTCTCAGGGCCGGAAATCCTTGTATAACACCACAGTTTATGTGATAAATATATATAGATGGCAAATTTTAAAAGATATATTGAATTCTTAAAGAAAAAGTAATTACCTTCCATTGCAAGAGATGTGAAAAGCCACTGGTTTACCTTTAGTAACATTTTTATGTCGCACTTTAAGAGATACAGGTGCTGTGAAGAGAATGAAATGGTAATGATGTTGATAATTTGTTAAAACTAGGATGCCAACAGAGAAATTATGCTGGCATTTGTCTGCATTATGGTAAAAACTATTGAGATGTTTCACAGAGAATAAGAGTAATAATTCATTCCTGATACAATGTCTACCAACTAGCAGAACATGACAGTGTTACATCCCAAGACCCTTTTAACAACGGGGACTGTAATCAATTCAAACTTTTTGGCAGAAAACTTTTACTGAGGACAAAGAAAAAAAATGACAAAATTAGACAGCATGCCCTAGTCATTCCAAGGTTGGATAGTGCTTTTCAGTGGATAGAGCAGTAAACTTTGCTCTCACTTATCCACTGGAAAGCAATTTATCTGCAGTTGGATAGTGTTATCTGCCTTTTATACATCTGGACCCAGGATGATAAAAAATATTCACATGTACACAAAAGTTTCCAGTGCACCAAAAGATGGGACAAGTTGGTTAGAAAATTGCACTTTGTCAAAACTGTGTCATGGTTTTGTTTTACAGGAGTCTTCTTTGTCAGAGAAATAAATGCAGGTCCTCACCTTTCACAAAAACATTCTTGGAGATAAGGTAGGTCTCGGTTGCAATATAGTACCTGGTTTCGACCCTGACAGTCACCCACACAAGATATTTTTTCTCTTTCTTGTATGTGTGAAATATTACACAGCTATTGCTCCCTTTCTTTATAGAACCATCTCCAAACTTCCAATCAATGGATACATTTGTGACTGCTTTGAATGGATCCTTGAATTTCACCTCAAACCTAGCAGGAATGTTTATTGCAATTTTTTCCTCGTCTGACGGCAACTTTGGACCAGGTAAACAATCGATCACCAGGTATGCTTTAACATTTGCTTGAAAAGATAAGGTAGATTATACCAAAATAATCATGAATGACATTATAAAAATACGATGTATATTCACAACCCTTAAAGTACAGCAGGACTGTTAAAGGTACTTTGCTAAAGAATTGGTGATGTAATCATAATTTTCAATCTCTCTCCATAAAATGTCCAGTTACATTCCCTGACAAACTCATTCTTTGGAGAAAGAAAGAATAAGGAACAAAGGACATTTGATTATGTTTACATGGATTTGCACAGAACAGCTTATTTTAAATTAATTGTGAAGGTTTTAAAGGCCACCATCTACCTGTAAATTGAAGATTTTTAAAAGCAACTCCTTTGCAGCGTTTTCCCCCATAAAATCCATAGATAACAACTTTCACTGTACAACTTCTCACAGTGGTAAAATTGTGACTCAATTGACTTTGACATGAATTTAACAGTTGAGTTCCATCACCAAAGTACCAGTCATATGATAAATTGACATATCTATTGGGACTATTGATTATGACAGCAAGGTTAACTGTTCCTGCGATGAATTGATCTATGTCTTGGGAAGAATTCTGATAAGCCTCCAAAGATGCAGATATCTTTTCTGCAAAAAGATATAGCAATAAAAGAGATTAATCAATAAGGCACACATTCATTTAGTAACATTCAAAACTATTGGAGAGTGAACATTTGTAGCAAAACAAAAGGTTCACCGCATGAAAGGGCACTTACTTTGTACTTATTTCATCCAGCTTTTTTTCCAATTTGCTGAATTAAGAAACACCAGCCACTTTGTAAACATGGCATGATAGTAAATGCAAATAGTTGAAAGTGTCACTTGAGCAAAGGCAAAGAAAAAAATTGGGAGTGATCATCTTCCAAACACTCATGCCTAAAACTTTTTGCTCTTCCAGTTCTATAGCACTGCGTTTACTTACTGAAGAAATGGAATAGACTTTATAGCTCTGAAGACCTTTTAACTTGAAAAATCACCCAAAATACCATGTATTGAAATAAATGTTAAATATCGCCAAAAATAATCAAAGAAAGGACTAAGTTATTATAGGTCATAAATTCACAGATTACAGCGAATCCATTCTGAAAAAAAGCACTTTGACCTAGAAGGTTTGATTGGCCATAATTTTCTACTTAAATGGCAATTAATAAAACGTAACCATAATCAGAGAATTCCAACTCTGTGATCGCGAGGAGGATCGGCGATCAGAACATAATTATTATCCTTGCATATTTCATACTCTGTCAGACAAGCAGATGGTGACGGTGTGATCTAAGTATCAATTTTCAAGTATCAATTTTCAAGTATCAATTTTCAGTCCAACCGGACAAACATTTGTTAGATATTTTGCTTTGAAATTTTGACGGCTAATAAAACAATGTTCGTCAATCGATATTTTTCAATGTTTATCAACACTTTTCTGCCTGGAATTATATTAATGTTGTAAAGAGAAATCCTTGTTTAAATTTTTTTCTTGTGCCATACAGCAAAGCGACACTTTCCAGAAAGTGAAAGTGCTTCAGTCTGACAAAACATATACCTTCAGTTCCATGAACTGTAATCTGTGTATGGTTCCTGGCATAATACTCAGTGTGCCCACTTTGTGACTGCTTTCGTTTGCTGGAATTACGACTGTTATACTCAGTTCCAACAATAATCCTCACAAAAACAAAAACCGTTTTCTGTCCTTCGCTAAACCATCGCCATCGAAAGCTATTCCATCTGTGCGTTGTTTGGTTCGGTCTGATCCATTCCAGATCGGCAACTTTCCACGAGAATTCGTATATTATATTTTCAGTTTGTCCCAAGTCTCTACTATTTGCTTTGGGTTTCAGCACAACTTCGGCTTCGAAAGCTGTTTCCTCTCCAATTTCGCTTCCGTGGCTATGTGATATCAGCACTTTGTACTCCCCAAAATAACTAAGACAAGGTAGAGCAAGAAAATTTGCGATGACGAGAATATGCAAGGATGCATACCGACGCATAATTTAGTCTGTTTTGAGGTTTATCGTTGCTCTACTTTCTTTACGAAAGCGGAATACCATGAATAGAGACTCCTGTTATTTCCCTTTGACGTAACGCGCATCTTATGTTTCGTAAAATATAACAAAATTGCAAAACATGCTAAGTCGAAAGTTCCACTAATAAAACATGATACTTAGCAGCCACGCGAGATCATTTAGACCTGGGCTGGGAGGGCACTGGGCGACTTTGAAAATGGTCGATACTGTATTAACGTGTTTAATTTATTGTACATAATAGGAAATTGAATTTTGAAAATTTACTGTAATTTCTTTTTATTGCTGGAAGAAGAATGACCAAAGTATCTTTTTTTCTTCACGTTGCCAGGTCAAATTTATTTTGTGAGGTAGCGTGACCCATGGACTTGTGATGATTGGTTCTCAGTCTCTTCTCGAATATTTCACAACCAAGATGTCTGCTTGTTCGCTAGTAAAATTATCGGCCTCTACCATTGTGCAGGATGGATGTATTGTGGAAAGATATGACTTGAGCACATTGCCAAGAGCTGTTCTACAAGAGCTTCTTTTAACTTCCATTTCTCAATCCAGGATTCTCTGTTTAAGAACTTTGATCGTGAACTGGCCTTTAAGACAACTCATATTGCAAAATGTTCAAGGTTTTGATGAACCGAAAGCAGTTCTCCTGGCGTACTGTTTGCAGAAATTTAAACGCGATTTACAACTTGTCGACATTAGGGGATGTAACATTGGTGAGTTATAGATATTCGATATTTGTTTCACGTCATAAAATTATGCAAATTTTCATAGCCTTTATACTGTTATGCACCTATCAATATTAAGCCTGAAATGTTACCTTAAAACTGTGGGGTCCTCCCCCCCTTAAGTTTGACGGGTTCATTACATTTTCCCCCTTGGGGAGGATACCCAATGTAAAATAACTTGAGCATAACGTGCTGCCTTACTCTTCAAATCCTTATTCTGATCAGCTCTTTATACAAACATATTCAGAAAGTTTTAGAACTCATATGAGCATCGTTGGGAATCTCTAGCAATGTTTGGAGGTCGTCTGAACACCTTATTGATGTTTGGAAATTGTCAGTTTCTCTAAATGGGGTAAGATCAGTTTTCTGTAATTGGGGTTGGATATCTCACCAACTGAGTAATATATGTCACCCAAAGCCCAACTTTGTTGCCCCAGAGGTATCTGGTCTCCTCTCATCAATACAACCCTGGCTTACACTTCATCTTTTTTGGATTTTTAGGTCTTCATGGAACCACAGCATTTTGCAAGCTAGCAGGAGATATTCAAGTTTCAGACAATGATGTGTTGGGAATGAAAATTTTGGACACACGTCCAACAGCAGAATATATAAAAGAAAACTTTCCAACTAAAACTTTATGCCAGAGAATTCCTCCAACAGTGGTTATGCTAGATTGTGTTGTTGACAAAGACAACTGTGGCCTTGTAATCCAGGCTTGCATCAAGCATTCAGTTATTGATTTAAAGATATCACATTTGAAAGTAGATTCCATTAGAGGGAATAAGCTTCGCACCTTGTTGTCTTCTTTGGAGGTGGGAAGAAAGATAAGTTATTTACATTTCAGTTATAGTCAATGACAATCTATCAAATATAATCATGATCAGTTATAATTGTTGGTAGAGTTTTGCTATGTGGTGCTCTGCTTCATACAGGGAAAATGTGGGATAAAAATGGGAAAGGAGACTTTTTTTCAACCCTTTACACCCTGGCATCAGTATGCATGTTCTCCATACTGTTCTTTATACATGGTGTTGAGTGCTGACAAGGAGAATTTGTTGAACAATCAGGAGCTTCTTTAGATGGTGATCATCTCCTCCATTCTTGTGACCTTAATGTGTGATTCAGATTGTAAGGAGAAATCACATACCAGTCACTCTTAGGGGTCATAGGGTTAATCATTGACCTGCTCTATTTCACATTATATAATAAGCTCAGTTATGCACGCATTCTGATTGGTTCTCACTTATGATCTATTGGAGGACAGATGTATAGATGATGTCATCATGAAACTACTTACCACATTTTGACGTCATCTGTGATCTATTACTGAACAGATGCACGGCAACTTGGAATCTATTTGTTAAATATAGCACAAAGTGCAGAAAGATGTGGAAAGCAGGAGAGAGGTCTGAAGGATTCCGCCCCTTCTGTACCACTACCACATGTGTGTTTTGTTAGTAAGTAAGGAGGGGGCCTTTGTTAGAGAAATAATGTTTTTATAAAATACTTTCATGTTGATATTCATCATTTTCTATTTTACTTTAGTCTTTAATCATCAAAGGCTTAAACCTGGAAATGAATGGACTACAGGAAGACGGAATCAAAGTTATATCCCCTATTATCTCAACCTTTACGAACTTAACAGATCTTAATCTTTCCTACACTGGTATAACGAGTCAGAACACTTCTGCTATTCAGGAAATAGCCAATATTTGCCATAGAGTAACAACGCTAAGAAAGCTTGATCTGTCTGGTAACTATATCCGGTCTGGAGTGTACACTATTCTCAGTCATCTGCAGTCACCCTTGACTCATCTGGATCTTAGAGGATGTGGGGTACGAGAATCTGACCTCCGTGAAATGTGCAAACTGGACACTTTAGAGCATTTGCAGTCTTTGAAATTAGATGGCGGTGCATTTGTGAACTGTATCAAACTGTTGTGCCGTTTTGTTCTTAAGTCAGCAGCAACGTTGGAGTATTTGTCACTTGAGGATCACATGTTTAATTCATCTTCTGTTTCTCCCCTTTGTCAGATGATCACAACACTGCCTTTGCTAAAGAGATTGTCACTAAGCTACAATCATTTTTCACCTGATGATATTAGAACATTCAAAGACAACTTTCCAGCTCTAGAATTGGTTTATAGGGAGTGGCTCTATTAACTTCGGAAATTTGAATGAAGTTTTGGTGTATGTTAGATTCAAGGTAAGCAGACATGCATAGTAAAGAGTGAAAAACACGTTGCTATCTGCCGGGACGTCGGTTATTTGATAAATGTCTCTAAAACTCAGCCTCTACATTACTGGAAACAAAAGACGGGATGTAAATAGGTTTTTTGATGGTTTTTGGTGGGGCTGTCCTGGTGTACCGGTACACGGGGGAGTTCCTATTGTTTTCATATCCATACATGGAGTTGTGACGCAGTTCGTTAATATTTCGTTCCTTTGTGTACCAGTACACGAGGACACAACCTTTTTGGTCATAAATGAAATTAAAAAAATATTTCTCTCCCTTCAAGATACAAGGAAAAAACGTTCCAGATACATTCTTCTTCCTAATCAGTTCATATAGCCTGCGACCGGGCCCTTATTATTAATAAATTATCCCTGCAGGACACGCATTTCTTAGCTCGTGGGAAGATTTGAAACAAGTCGGAGAGAGGTAGTCAGGGGTCCAGCCATTAATGACGAGGCGCCAGACCACTTGCAGATCTCTCCCGGCCAGCCTTGTTCGGGCGAAGAAAAGCCTGAACCGAAGCGCTAATAATTAAATTAGGGCCTGCTCGCGGACTACAGATCAGATTTTCTGCGTTTGGTAAGCAAAGAAAATACTTTAACCCAAAAAAATTGCGCAAGAATTTATTTTAGTGTACTGATACATTGATGAAAATTTATCTCCCTTAAGACAATGCTTAAAACTTGCTCAGGTGATAAGTGAAATTGAAAATAAGTTGTGTCACCTCACTACTACGATTTGATAAAACAGTTTTTCTCACATAGCCCCATAGGGTCTGAACATAAACATTCATCATGGGAAGTTACGGTAAAACCTAAGAAGATACAAGAATTAGCGAGAGGTGCGATTTTTGTTCAACGACGCACGCCGCAATATATTCAAAACGGTGTGTCTAATGTCTCTCATCTTCCAGCAGTAAATTACAGGATTCAGGGATGAATTCAGAAATACCAAAGTCATCGAATAATGATAGAATTTGATCAAGGTGTGATTCGAACCATACAATGTCACTGCAGACTGGCAGATACCAATAGGCAGATAACAAAGCAGAAACACAAGACACACGTAGAATACGCTGACTGCAGTTTTAAGGATATTCGAAATATGAAACATCTCCTCAGTCTGTTCTGATTGTTGCATGCCATGAATCTGATTCTTGTGGCGTCTCACCGTTAAATAAAGTCGCCAGTAGATAGTTGAAGTTAAAATGACACCGCCAGCATTTAGAAGGATGGAGATAGAAAAATTCACATAGTTTGAAAGCCACAGCATGGCGAAAGAACGAACCAGAGAGAAAAACCAAATTGATATGACCACCAGAATGATGCGCCTGTGAGTTACAAGTTCTTGGTATCTGAGGTGAAAATGAACCGCTAAGAACCTGTCCACGCTTACAGCCAGAACATTTAACAACGAAAGCGTACAGAAAAAATTTGCACTTAAGGAATAAATTTTATGTTCAATACAGGTTAGATTTATTTGTCGTAACAATCTGACCAGAAATGACGTGTAAAATGGCTGAACCAGTAAACCAACACCAACGTCAGAAACGGCAAGACTCGTAAGCAATATTTTCAAAGTCTTTGGTAAAGACGAAGTTTTTCGTATTACGTAGATAGTTACTACGTTCAACACGATGGCAGTAAAGGAAAGAAAATGGTTGAAGACACAGTTGGCGAGGTAAGACGTGTAAAGCTCTTCAGCATCAGATATGGAGGGGAAAAACTTCCCATAAAATTCGCAAAATCTTTCCTTCATACTATTGATTGACTGTCAACGTTTCTTTAGCCATTGCATTGAGCGGTACGAAAAAATGTTTCAAGGTTTCTCAATTCGGCCCAGGTGATCCCTCTCTCGTCTGCTCCAAAGAATTATATGACAAATCTTCTCCAAACGTTATTCTCAGCTCCAGACGGAAAGGGTGAATTATTGTACTGTTCAAAGTTTTCCGTTTATGAAGGAAAATCACTGCGCCTCTCAGTAACATGCGACATGCTGTGGGGCTTAACACCGAAATTGCGATTTTCTTTCATGCTGCGATCAATCATCTTCCAAACGGACATTTAAAAGCAGAATTAACAACATGTACCGATATTCTCCAATCACAACTCAGAAACATGATTACCTTAAGATTATAAAACATGATTGACGGTTACGT